CTGGCTCCCTTGAATCCTGTGAAGGTTTCTACTGTGACATAGAAATGAAGTGTGCAAATACAGTACAAAGCGATGTTTAGCACATGTGTACATTGTGTAATGTTCAAATCTGGTAACAATGTTTAACATTCTTTTTAGTCCAAAACCACTTTGTGGTGATATATTGGAAATATCTAGGAAATAAAGCTTGCCTGAAGACACCGATGGTGATGTTTATACTTTTTTTTAAATTGTGTGTGCACGATGTATGTTTGTGTATTTATGTGGAACTCAGGACAGCTTTTTTTTTTTGTTTTTTCGAGACAGGGTTTCTCTGTGTAGCTTTGTGCCTTTTCCTGGAACTCACTTGGTAGCCCAGGCTGGCCTCGAACTTACAGAGATCCACCTGGCTCTGCCTCCCGAGTGCTGGGATTAAAGGTGTGCGCCACCACCGCCCGGCTTAGGACAGCTTTTTGGAGTCCTTTCTCTCCATCTTTACATGGTTCTGCATTGAACCCAGGTCGTCAGGCTTGATCCATTAGGTAGCAAGAGTACTGAACCTTCTCTCCAGCTCTCTTCGTTCTTTTTTTTTTTTTTAAACCAGTATTGGGTAGATGTGTACATCATTTTGTTTATCTGTCAGGCACTGAACATTTGCAGCTGTTATGAATAAAGCTGCGACACCTGTATATGGTTTTCATGTGAAAATTATGACCCCTTTCTCATTTTTTGTTTTTGATACACACTTAAGAGTGGAATTGGTTGGTGATTTGGTAACGTGTATCAAGCTGTTTGACAGTAATAGCTGCACCTTTTACCTCCTTCCAGCAGTGAATGAGGGTTTGCTTTCCTCTAAGTGCTTATCAGTGTTTGTTATTATCTGACTTTGGGTTCTAGACTCCTAGAGCGTTCAACGTTACTTCATTTGAAAATTGTATTTCCATAATGAGTAATATCATCGAACATTTCTTCATGTGCTTACTGGCCATTTGTATATGTTTCTTGGCTAGTTTTCTACTTAGCTCTTGTGCCTGTGTTTTAAATTTGTCTTAAAATTTTTCATTACAATAACGTGGAGAGACAAGGATTCTTCATGTGCCATGTGCACAAGTGGATGTCAGAGAACAGCTTTGTGGAGTTGGTTCTGTCTTCTGCTTTTTCATGGCTTCTGAGACTTGAATCAGGTCATCAAGCTTGGCAGCACTGAACCATCTCACTGGCACCACTCTGGGTTTCATATGGTGCTCACAGTATAACCTAGGGTTTCATGTATGCAAGGCTGGTCCACACACACCCCTGGCCTGTCCATCTTCACACCAGTCCACACTGTCTGAATACCTGCTGCTTGGTATGGTGTTTAAGTCAGTTCATTTTGGTCTTTCTGCTTCGTTCTTTGGAATGGGTTGGCTGTTTTGGATCCCTTGCAGAATCAGCTTTGTAAACACAAAAATCAGCTGAGACTAACAGGAGCCAAACTAAACTAGATCCGTTTGGGTGATGTTACCATCTTAGTAGGCCATGAGCACAGGAAGTTGTTCTGTGTGTTTACATCTTTTTTAATTTCTTTATTCAGTGTTTGGTAGTTTGGAGTGTAAGCTTTTCATTTATTTTGTAAAATTTATTCTTAAGTATCTTTTGAGAGTTATTGTAAGTTGTTTTTTTTTCCTTAATTTTCTTTTTGGATTATTCATTCTAAGTGTGTAGAAATACAATTAATTTTGTGTATTGATATTATATCCTGCAACCTTGGTGGATTAATAAATTGGCAGTACTTGGGATTGAACCTATAGCCTCATGCATACTAGACAAGGGCTCTACTACTGCAATACAGCTGCAGCCTGGTGTTGATTAATTCTAGTAGCTTTTTAATGGATTCCTTACAGTTTTCTGTATGAAAGATCATGTCTACTGCAGTGTAGGGATAGTTCTACTTCTTGTCTGAATCCCTACATTTCCTTTTCTTTTCTAATTGTCCTGACTAGAACATCCATACAGTGTTGAGTAAAATGGTAAGAGGGACATCCTTGTTTGTATCTGCCATTATTATGGTGAACACATTTAGTCTTTAACCCTTCGGTGTGGTGTAGCACAAATCCTAATTGGTCTTAATAATAAAAACACAGAGTCAGATATCAGGGTGAAAGCTGAATGATCAGAGAAGCAGAGCAGCCATCCACTAGAGACTTCCTACCTCTACCGAATCCTCAGCCTGAAAGTGCCAAGCTCCTGTCTCCACCCACCTTATCACTTCCTCTCTCTGCCCAGCCATATCACTTCCTGTCTCCACCTCCCTAGTGTTGGGATTAAAGCTGTGTGCTACCACTCACTGCCTGGCCTCTATGGTTAACTAGTGGCTGACTCTGACCTCTGATCTTCAGGCAAGCTTTATTTGTTAGAGTACAAACAAAATATCACCACAGTGTGGTACCCTCAGAGGATTTTCAGGTATACCCTTTATCTGAATGAGGAAACTCCTCTTTGTTTCCAGTTTATTGGGTTTTATTTGGATTTTATCAGAACCTTTGTCTGGGTTTATGTGGAGGTGATGGTGTGGTTTGATTTTATTGGTAATGTGTCTTACGTTAGCTTTGTTTTGATGCTAAGTTAACTTTCTTTTCCCTTTTATTATATTTTTTATTATTTAAAACAATTTTTAAATTTAAATATATGTTGATCCTATTCTTTCTACCCCAAGTCCTTCCAGATCCTCTCCCCCTCAATACCTACCCAACTTTTATTTCTTTCTCAAAAAACAAAAACCCAATACAACAGCAAACCCTCCCCAAAACCAGTAAAGTAAAAAAAAAAGCACCACCCAAAACAAGCAGCAACAATAACAAACCACCAAACAGCAACCAAATAAAAGCACACAAAAAACTGTGGAGTCCATTATATGTTGGTCAACTAGTTACTCCTGATCATGAGGAATGTCCTGGAATGGTTGATACATCTAGTGTCACTCCATTGGAGAAAACTGATTTTCCCTCTCTAAGCATGTATAAATGACAGTTCAATTGTTAACCTTTACACTAGTAACTAGGTTTTCATTTGTTGATTGATTTTTTTAATATATAACAAAATGAAATGTAATAAGATTAAAAAAAAGCTATTACATTGAAGTTGGATAAGACAAACCATCAGAAGGAAAAGAGACCAAGAGAAGGCACAAAAATCAGGGACCCACTTGTTCACTCATTCAGGAATCTCATAAAAACATTAATCTGGAAGCCAAAATATAAACACAGAGGACCTGGTGCAGACACATGCAGGCCCTGTTCATGCTGCTTCAGTCTCTGTGAGTTCATATGAGCTTTGCTCATGTTGAGTTAGGGGGTCTTGTTTTCCTGGTGTCCTCTATCCCCTCTGGATCTTACACTCTTTCCACCTCTTTTTCCAAGGGGTTCCCTGACCTCTGAGGGGAATAGTTTTATGGAGACATCCCATTTAGGACTGAGTTGTGTGTCTTAGGGTTTGATTATTGTGACTATATGCCATGACCATGACAACTCTTATAAAGCAAAATCTTTAATTGGGGCTGTCTTACAGTTCAGAGGTTTAGTCCATTATTGCCATGGTGGGAAGCATGGTGGCATGCAAGTGCTGGAGAGGTAGCTGAGGGTTTTACCTCTGGATCCACAGGTAACAGGAAGAGACAGTGAGACACTGGACCTGGATTGAGCTTCTGAAACCTCAAAGCCCACCTCCCCCAGTGACACACTTCTTCCAACAAGGCCACACCTCCTAAAAGTGCCACTCTCTATGGGCCTGTAGTGGCCATTTTTATTCAGACCACCACAGTGTTCCAAGGTCTCTCATTCCCTGTGCAATGTCTGCCTGTGGGTCTCTGTATTTGTTCCCATCTTCCAAAGGAAGCTTCTTTGATGATGGCTGAACAAGGCATTAATCTATGAGTATAGCAGAATACCATTATGAGTCATTTATCACTACATATTTCTAGACCACTATTTGATTTTACCCTAGGTCCCTGATTTTCTAGTCTCAGGTTCTTGGTCACACAAGCAATATCAGGTAAGGGTTCCATCTCATGGAATGGGCCTTAAGTCAAATCAGTTATATAGATTGTTTACTTCTGCAAGCTTTGTGCCACCATTACCCTAGCCTATTTTGCAGGTAGTACAACGTTGTAGATAAAGGATCCTGGTGTTTTGAGAGCATGCAGAGTACCTTCCTGCACTAAAGGTGTTGGAATGGAGGGGTGAAAGCTCTGTAGGCACCAGCTCGACATACCCATGTTCAGTGAGTTGTATAGGTTTTGTCTTCAGCAATGGGGCCTTGTCATCAGTTTGTGGACAGTAACCTATAGTCTTGGCAACAGCCTGGGTTGTTTGGGGATTCCCATGGGGCCCCTTTGGCAAACAACTCAGATGTAACTCAATCCTGGTACTGGAAGCTTTATTTGGTGACAAGAGATGGCCACTTGGGACTCTGTCTCCCCCATTATTCGGAGATTTCACTTAGATCTCCTTCATATATGTCTATATTTTAGAAAGTTTTCTACTGTATTGGGTTTCCCTATTACCCTGAAAATATGCCGTAATTCTGTTTCTCCCTGCTTGTATTTTCTCCCACAACCCCTTCTTCCCTCCCCCTCCCCACCTGATACTAAATTAACTTTCATTCTTGATAGAAATCTTCCATGGTCATGGTGTATGATTTTGTGTGTGCATGTTGTTAGATTTGGCTTGCTAGTATTTTGTTATGGGAGTTTGTATCCATATGTATATATGTAAATTATTTATTTTTATTTTATGTACATTGGTGCTCTGCCATGTATGTCTGTGTGAGGGTGTTGGATCCCTTTTAACTGGAGTTCCAGGCAGTTGTGAGCTGTCATGTGGGTGCTGGGAATTGAATCTGGGTCCTTTGGGAGAGCAGCCAGTGCTCATAATTGCTGAGCTGTCTCTCTGGCCCCTTTTTAAGAAGCTTTTTAAGTAGTTTTCTCGGTATGTTTTTGTCTAACGTGTCATGTTGTCAATATGGTTGTTTCTCCCTTTGCTTAGCTCATGGCAGCACTGGCTACTGTGGGCCCCCCTAACCCTCGGGCAGATCCAGAGTGCTGTAGCATTCTGCATGGGCTTGTTGCAGCAGTGGAGACCCTTTGCAAAATTACTGAGTACCAACATGAGGCTCGCACTTTACTCATGGAGAATGCAGAACGAGTTGGGAATAGAGGACGGATAATCTGCATTACAAATGCAAAAAGGTGGGCTGTTAATCACAGTGATCTTTTCCCTGAGAGAATTTTAATTACTATTATGTTTTTATTTTACAAAGTGTGAGTAGCCTATAAATATGTAAGAATATGCAAGTGGATTTCTCTGATTTTTTTTATTATTATTATTTGCCTTTAATATTGAGACTGGGCTTATTCACTTCTAAATAAAAATCCATCTTGATAAGCTGCGTATGCTCATGCACATCTGCAATCCTAGTACTTGGGCGGCAGGGGTCAGAAGATCGCTCTGAGTTTGAGGCCAAGGTAATGAGTTCTAGGCCAGCCAGGGCTACAGAGCAAAACTGTCCCCAAAAAAAAAATCATCTTGGTGAAAATTGTTTAGATTATTATGTAAATTGATAAGACCTTTTCTTCACTGATTTTTTTTTTATCTAATAGTTTGATATTATGCTCAAGATAGTCTTTGCTGTAGTAAATTTTTTAAATTATGTGTACGTATGTGTCTGTATGTGGGTCTTGTGCACATGAGTACAGGTGCCACAGAAGCTAGAAGGCAAGTTACAGGCGGTTGTGAGCTGCTAGACTTGGTTGGGTGCTGGGAACTAAACTGAGGCCCTCTGCAAGAGCGATACTTGCGCTTAACCTCTGAGCCCTCCCTCCAGGCCTGCTGAAGTAATTTTAAATGCCAGTGTCCGCATACTGCAGCTGAATAGTGGCTTTGACTTTTTTCTTACTGCTTGTTCCTTTTTCTCTCTTTTTAATAACATAGTGATAGTCATGTACGGATGCTCGAAGACTGTGTCCAAGAAACAATTCATGAGCATAACAAGCTTGCTGCAAATTCAGATCAGTGAGTATAATTTGTAGATGAAATAACTGTCTTTAACCTCACATGATGTGTATTTCATATTTATTTGCAATAATTTTCAGTGTGTTTGGTAGCATTTCCTTGATTTTTCTTACTTAATAAATTAGCTTAAAGCTGTAAGTTTGATCAGAATTTTTTTCATTTTCCTTACATTTTAGAATATTACTTTCTTCTCACAAGATAGGTGCTCAGAATGATAAAATAATACATAAATTTATAGTGCATATTTGTTTTGATTGTGGATGTCATTACTCATTATTTATCAGTTCAAAATGTAGCAACTCATTGCATTGTGTGAATTTATTTTTAAATAATAACAGTTGAGAAAAAACATTCTTGCTTTATACTCATAGTAGTATTTAGGGATGATCAAAAGTGTTGGATTTTTTTTCCTGCACCAAACAGTCCTGGCACTGTATGGATAGCATGTGGGTGTCCTGCAGTTCAATTAAGACATTAGCTCTGTGGAGTTATTACAGCCCCTACAGATTAAGAGCTCAGTTCCTCAGAATCACATACCTCTCCTACCCTTTCAGAAACCAGTGTCAGGCTGACTTGCTAACCGGTTAGCAGTTGTTTCCACAACTCCATGTTTGACAGTTTACTGTGAACACTAAGTGTGCTAATGTGTTATATAGGATACTGATGAAGCAGTTGAAGCAGCATGAAGCAGGGAAAGTCCTGAGTGCAGGCGTTTTTACTCCTTAGAGATTTATGTGCTGTCTTCACAGTGTGTGGATGTGTTCATGTTACAGAAGATCCCTGTGGTAGTTTGAATGTAAGTGGCCCCCATTATCTCATAGGGAGTGGCACTATTAGGAGGTATGGTTTTGTTGGAGTGTGCATGTCCTTGTTTGAGGAAGTGTGTCACTGTGGGGGCAGGCTTTGGGATTTACTATGCTCAGGATACTGCCCAGTGTCTCAGTTGACATCAGTACAAGCCAAGATGTAGCCACCATCATGTCTGCCTGTATGCTGCCATGCTCCCTGTCATGATGATAATGGACTGAACCTCTGAAACTAAGCAAGCCACCCCAGTTCAATGTTTTCTTTATAAGAGTTGCAGTGGACATGGTGTCTCTTCACTTCTATAGAAACCTAAGACAGTCCTTGAGCCCTTTATCTCTGGGACTTTTATAAAGTTGTCACATAGACTTGACTGGTTATTTATTTTCTGGCCTCTCTTTACTTCCTAAAGGATGGCAGAGTAGGTCTTAAAGGTCCCAAGCTTCTAATCATAGCATTGTCTTTCTGATAATATCTTCCCCTTCTAGGAGCTATGGAGAATCCCAAGAATTAGGCCATTAGCACAGAGGGACTACCACCCAGGAAATTCTCAGAGATTTAAGAACCAACTGTCAAGAACCTAGATCCAAGATGAAATAGTAGAGAGCAGAAGGTACTGTTAGTACCATAGGACTTAGGACTTTATAAGGGTCTCAGGAACGCTGTCCCCATCTGTCAGGTCCATAGACCAAATGTATACTGTTACATCACAGCCAATAAGGGCATGTTTACAGCAGTTGTACTGGACTACATTTTAGATTGAGCAGTTACTAATTTTCTTACATGGAATAGGGGCATTGCTGTTAGGAGTGGAACTATCCTTAGTAGAAAGGTCCTCAAGTGTTTAGTAATGTTCTTTACAGTTCACTTGAGAATGGCTCATTGTCTTAGTTAGGGTTTCTATTGCTGTTACATGGTACCATGACCATAGAAACTCTTATAAAGGAAAACATTTCATTGAGGTGGCTTATAGTTCAGAGGCTTTAGTCCATTATCATCATGACAGGACATGGTAGCATGCAGGCAGACATGGTGCTGGAGAAGGAGCTAAGAATCCTACATCTTGATCTGCAGGCTACAGGAAGTGAACTGAACTAGGCATAGCTTGAGCATAGGAGACCTCAGAGCCCACCTCCACAGTGACACACTTCCTCCAACAAGGCCACACCTCCAAATAGTGCCACTCCCTGAGCTTATGGGGGCCAGTTACATTCAAACCACCACACTCAGTAAGAAACATTTGTTCTCTATTCAGAGTCAGAAAGAACACAAATGTAGCTAACAGTGAATGTGTGATGTACAATGTAGAATATATGGATTTTCACTGACTATATTGCTGTCAGCTGTTCTTCAGATACAAAGCTAGGGAATGGCTGGTGAGATGGTTCCAAGTCTGACGATACGAATTCAGAACCTAGATGGTAGAAGGAGACACTGCCCAAGAAGTTATTCTCTGGCCTTCACATGTGCACAATATGCTCCCTCCCATAAATAAGAAACAATACACTTTTAAAACATAGCAGAATTTTTTTAGTCTTATATTCTTAGAAGTAATCATTTATAGGTAGTGATTAGTATTACCTGATTTTTGTCCTTTAAAAAAAAAAGGAAAGAAATTCAATATACAGATACTCATTTTCTTTGTGATAATTGTAGAAAATTATAAGGTCTTTCTCTTTATTGTTATTTCTTAATTTTTAACAGATTTTTATTATGCAAAGATTGTCACATAATTGGGTACCTCTCTGCTTTGTACAGTTTCTTACTCCTCAGAAAGGCTTTTTCTGAACTCGGTCTTGGTAGTGGCAGCAGTAGCAGAATTGCCTCAGTGACTTCAATTGAAAGCAGGGCCCTGGTGCATGGCTCTGGCACCCACCGTCAATGTTTGTATTATTTAAATACACAGAGAAAAGTTCCACATTTCATTTAAACTTGTGTAATCGATAAGTATTTATACAAACACAGCAATTGTATATCATGTAACTGCTTAGCTCAGAGTGTTATCAGTAGTGTCTGATCATGGTCATACATTATCTGTCTAGAGTCATACACTGAGTATAGTCAGTCATACACTGTTTATTATGATAAGGTTGAAGTAGTTTGCTTGCCTGAATTCTTTACAATGTCTGTTCTAACATTTTAAGTGAAAGTTTTTTTTAAGTCTCATGCAGATTCAAAAATGTGAGTTGGTCTTGATTCACACCTACCCAGTTGGTGAAGATAGCCTTGTATCTGATCGTCCTAAAAAAGAAGTAAGTGTAGAAGTACTGCAAGAAGAGATGGTTGTGAGTTAGGATTAAGCAATGCTGAGAATGACAGCATTTACTGATCACATTGCTGTTTTTTTCTGCCAAGAAAGTATTTGAACATCTGAAAACAGACCTGTATGTCAGATATATATGTGTCTCCTGTTTTGCTTCATCATTGGCATTAATTTAGTATAATGTGTTGCAAGTCCTTAAACTTTTTATTCTGATCTGTGAATTTTAATTACTTCGGTAACTTTAATTTTTACCCATTTTGAGAAAACAGTACGTTCTAATAAAATACTCTCTGATAACAAAGAAACCAACTTATATGTTCAGGGAAAACCTACTTTCCAACTTTTACTTTAAAAAAGAAATAAATTTTAAATGAAAAGATAACTTTGTTGGTTAGTAAGTGTATTCATATCACACCTTTATTGGTAGTCTGTATATAGAAATGTAAATCTATCCATTTATGTAGTTATAGTAAATGTATAATAGTATATGCTAATGTTCTATTTTGTATTTTTAATTTAACCATGTCCACTATTACTTTTTAGTCTTTGAATTATTTAAGTGATACTTTCAAGTTGTTGACTCGTCATATTTTAGATGGTTTCCTGATTATTTTATGCCTCTTAATGATATAATACATTGGTTTTCCTTTTTAGTAACTAAAAAAATTAATTATATTATTATTGCCTTGGAATGAATAAAATTTTGTTAGTTTATTATACTTTGGTTTTTTTTTTTGTTTTTTGTATTTTTTTGAGACAGGGTTTCTCTGTGTATCCTATCTGCCTGCCTCTGCCTTTTGGGTGCTGGGATTAAAGGAGTGCATCACCATGCCCTGCTTTAGTTTACTAATACTTTTTGCTGCCTTACCTCATACTGGTAATGAAGCCAGATGTTTGTGGTGATTTCCATGTTCCTTCTTAATTTTTATCTGTGGGTTTTGTTCTCCATAGAGTGAATTATTTTTCTTACAGTAGCGCTATGTGATTTCAGCTCTATTTGCATATCAATAAGCAGAAGTTAAAAATATAAATTTGTATTTAGTGAATGGTTCCAGTCTAGGTTTTCAGAGGGCAGTGACTGTCTGTACTGTGGCCGTACTGATGGCTTACATAGTTCCTGGCTTATAATATAGTAATCGGATTATATATGTTACAGATGAAACTTCACTGATGAAATAATTATCCTGGCTAGCTTTTACACCCCCCTCCCCTACACACACACATACACACACACACACACACACACACACACACACACACACACACACACACACATACATTGTAAAAAGCCACTCAATACTTAAAGTAATGTTCTGTGGGTTATCTTTCTTGGGTGCTTTCCTGCAGTTGTCCCCGGTTTTGACGAGTGAAGTCCACAGTGTCCGAGCTGGGCGGCATCTTGCTACCAAGTTGAATGTTCTAGTCCAGCAACATTTTGACTTGGCTTCAACAACTATCACAAATATTCCTATGAAGGTATGCAGTTCTGAGAGCTCTTTTGTACTTTTTGATTATTTGCTTGATATTCCTTATTCGCTTTAATTGAACCTTTACTTTTTCTCCCTATATCATATTTTGTCTTGCTAGCCCACATTCAGTGTCTTTGAACAGGTTAGTAAATACTGAGAATCAAAAAGAAAGGATCACAGAACAAATGTTTGTATTGTTACTATTTCTAATAAGAACATGTCATGTGAGGTTTTTAAGAACTATGTTCTTATTATTTTTATCAAAATCTATATTTTAAATTATTTATCTGTGATTCTTTTCCTGAGAGCTGTGTTATTAGATTTTACTTTGTATATTTGAGTGGATCTTTTATTTCCATACTTTCATTCTTACCCACCTAAATGTGAAGATGTTGATAGGTAGTAGGTCTGACTAATGAAAAATATCTCATGGCTTCCAGTTAATTTAGTACTCTTCAGGGAAAGAGCCATGGATGAGAATATATAGTTTCAGCAGTGGATTTTCTTAGGAATCTGTCACTCTATTCATATTGTCATTAAGTTGTCAGGACCAGCAAAACGCCTGGTCATAATAAGCTTTAAATGAATTGTTACTAAAATTGAGTCTATACAGTGACTACTCTTACCTAAAATTCATGGTGACTTTCTTGGAGTCCAGTTTCAATTTCTTCTTTTTTGATCCTTATTTTTGAGACAGGGTTTCACTTTATAGTCCATACTGACTTGAAACATGTGATCCTCCTGCCTCAGCCTCCCTAATGTTAGGATCACAGATGTGACTCACATTACCCAGCCTTGTTTTCAGTTCTTTTGCCATTATCCCATGGATACTAAATTGCATGAGAAATCTTAGCTTTTCATTTTTCATGTCCTCCCAACTTCATTGGCTGATTCTTTACTAGGAGTTCCAGGAGACCATTTACAACGACTTGATGAGAGGCAGTGAACAAGTAAAATAGTGTCACAAACTCTAGCTTATATCTGAGTCGTAAGAGACATGGTGGGAAGGCAGCCGGTGGCTGGCTTTTTGGACCTGACACGCCTCTGTAGTCTGTGTTCTCTCTGTTAGTAGATAATGCCCAAAACAAGCTACTAAGCTTGTTTACTAGTGTTTGCCACTTTAAATAATTGTGTTCATTAACTCACTGCAAGTATTTAAAGATGCTATTGCCTATTTTTAACAACTATTTTAAGTTCAACTTACATACCTATTTCAATGATACTGTATTTGGGTATAAAAACCATTGACAAGAAAATACATTTGTAGTTAAACAAACTCAAAATTTCTAGAAGAGTCATTTGTGTTACTTCTGACATGAAAACGTCATTACCTCAGTGCCTATGTTCCACTAATAGTTCTAAAGTAGAGTTCAGTACACTGCTGGAAAGTGTTGCATCTTTAAATAAATGATTGGGCAAACCATCCTCTTATTTAGCTAACTATGAACTATGACAGATTGTATTTGACCTCACTTTAAGCAAAAAGCAAAGTGAGTAATTTATTTCATTATTTTGAAAGCAAACCCAAGTTACTAAAATGTCTTAAACTTTGCTTAAAGGAAGAGCAGCATGCCAACACATCGGCCAACTATGACGTGGAGCTACTTCACCACAAAGATGCACATGTAGATTTCCTGAGAAGTGGTAAGAGGCCTGACCAAGCCAAGCACATAGACTGAGCTCATCTTTGTCCAAACTGCAATGTCACCATCATAGTTTTTGTCAACGTGACACAAATTAGATCCACCTGGGAAGAGGGAATCTCGATCGGAAAATTGCTTTCATCAGATTGGCCTGTAGGCATGTCTTAGGGTTTCTATTACTGTGGTGAGACATTGTGACCATGGCAGCTCTTACAAAGGAAAACATTTCATTGAGGTGGCTTACAGTTCAGAGGCTTAGTCCATTATCATCATGACAGGACATGGTGGCATGCAGGCAGACATGGTACTGGAGAAGGAGCTAAGAATCCTGCATTGTGATCTACAGGCTACAGGAAGTGAACTGAACTAGATACAGCTTGAGCATAGGAGACCTCAAAGCCCCCCTCCACAGTGACACACTTCCTCCAACAAGGCCACACCTCCAAATAATGTCTCTCCCTAAGCTTATGGGGTCAATTACAGTCAAACCACCACAGCATGTTTGTGGGGCATTTTCCTAATTGCTAATTGATGTAGGAGGGACCAGCCCACTGGGCGGTGCCATCCCTGGGCAGGTGGATCTGGGGTATATCTGAGAAAGGTAGCTGAGGAGGCCAGGGGAAATAGCTTTCCCCCATGACTTCTTCTTCAGTTCCTGCCTTCAGATTCTTGACGAGTTCCTGCTTTGGCTTCCCATGATGATGGACTCTAACAAGCTAAAGTAAGCTCTTTACTTCCCTGGGTTGCTTTTGGTCACAGTGTTTGTCACAGCAACAGACAGCAAGCTAAGACAGTGTCCATGAACTAATAGTCTGTGATGAAAGATGAAAGTTGACTTTCATCTCCAAGCTGTGGTTTCTACCACTGGACCCTCATGCTTTGGGGTAGGAGGGAAGAGCTTTCTTTAGCAAATCTTTGTGTTTCTATGCTTCATTTTATTTGTTTAAAAATTGCAGATGCTGTAGCAGCATGAATTGTAGTATTCTGTTCACTCCTAAAATTGAGTGATATTTTAAGGTTTGAAGACCATTTAAATTCCTGAGGTTCTTCTTTGTAAATTGATGCTGATAGAATTATATGACTGATGTTGAGCATGTTGTGTGCATTCATCCTGAAGCATAATTGTGAGCCAGCTCGGGCGATGGTTGTGTGTCTTCAGATTCACTGACTGAATTACTACCAGGAGAGAAACTACTATGATAAATGTATCTACTAATGTTTAGTAAGGGAATGTAGAGAACGTGTTTTTGAAAGTGTAACTCATGGAGATTGCTAAGAACCCAAGAGATGATGCCAGTTTGTAAGATTTTTCTTTTTTAAAACTCAGAAGACTGTATAAAATAGCCTTGGGTATGAAAGTATTTCTTCCTGTGGAGAGGGCTTGGTGAGTAAGAGCACTTGCTGTGAAAGCAGAAGGACCTATGAGAAGCCTGTAAAGCCACAGTTGGGAGCAGAGACAGGTGGGTCCCAGGAGTCACTAGCCACCCTCATGCCTATACATTACAAACATGTGTGCATAAGTAAATAAAATCTTTATACTCCTGTAGCACTAGGAGGCTGCATGAGGTTAGGTAAGCCTCACTGAGGAGGGACTGAGTGGGATCTCAATTAGTAGTCAGATTGTGTTTTAGCCCAGGCATCTCCCTTGAAGCTCCATATCTGTATATTCTGCCTCACGTCAGCACTCCATCTAAAACTCAGCACTCCTCTGTGACTGACACTTGGCACTTTCAGTGCATAGTCCAATTGTTTTTGCATTTCCATTAGACAAACTTCAAGATCATCTTTGAGGTGCCTCTCTGACATATTGTTTATTTATTTATTTAATTTTACATCCCCATGGCAGTTTCCCTTCTTTTCCTCCTAGTCCCGCCCCCTACCTCCTCTCTGCCGCCGCCCCCCCCCCCCCCATCCTCTTCTCCTCTGTTTCTGTTCAGAAAAGGGCAGGCCTCCCATGGATAGCAACAAAACATGGCATATCAAGTTGCAGTAAGACTAAGCACCTCACCCTGTAATTAAGGCTTGGCAAGGCAACCCAATATGAGGAATAGGATCCCAAAAGCCAATAAAGGAGCTGGAGACAGCCCTTGTTCCCACTGTTAGGAGTCCCAAAAATAGACAAAGCTACACAACTGTCACATACATGCAGAGGACCTAGGTCGGCCCCATGCAGTGGTTGTCGGTTCAGTCTCTATGAGCTCTGGTTAGTAGATCTGTGGGTTTTCTTGTGATATACTTGACCCCTTTGGCTCCTACAATCCTTCCTCCCTCTCTTTTGCAGGATTCCCCAAGCTTGGCCTAATGTTTGACAGTGGGTCTCTGCATCTGTTTCTACCTGTTGCCAAATGAAGCCTCTCTGATGACTCTTGGACTAGGCACTGATCTATGAGTATAGCAGAATATCATTAGGCATCATTACATTGACATTTAGTTTTATTTCAGTCCTGTTTGGTTCTATCCTATGTCACTGGACCACCCAGCCTCTGGGTCCTGGAGCTCCAAGCAGTGTCAGGGGTGGGCCCTCTCTCGTGGCATTGGTCTCAGGCTGGACCAGTCATTGATTGGCCACTCCCACAATCTCTGTGTCTCTGATGCTTTTTATGTCAAATTTATCATCCTTGATTTCATTTTGTGTCTCTCAAATACAACCATATCTGTATGTTTGCTACCATTGACCACTTCCTGAGTGAAGCCCATTATTTTCTCACCTAGCATCCCAAGGAAGACAGTGAACTGAGAATGTAATCCACCATGTTCTCATGGCTCTGGTATCTAACAGGCCACATTGCTTGATCCTCCGCTCTGCCGCACTGCTGCCATACGATACGGTCTTGACGTCCACTGTTCTCTCTGCCTGATTGCTTTTCCTCCATTTCTTTAATTTCTTCACCATCCTCTGAGAACTTAAGCCAATCTTCGTATCTAAAAGAGGCTTTTTCAGTGTCTTAACATCGGTCAGAGCTCCCTGTTGGAGGCTGTCCTAGCCCTGTGTAGTAGCTTCTTCAACACTGTCAGCTTGACATGTCTGTTCCATGGTACTGCAGGTTCCATGAAGGGAAAGGTGCTGCTCTGCCTTCTTGCATGTTTACTCCAGAACCTTTACACATCTTCTGAAGAAGCACACTAGGGTTTAGTTGTGCATTTTAGACTTTTAAACCTTCTGAATATTGACTGTTCATCACTTATTGGCATAGGCAGGGAGAGACAGTTACGATGTTTGAGGTTTGTAAAAATTTTATTTTTGTCTATTAAAGCAGCAACCTAAATTAAATTAGTGAATGAAAAAATAAAATGAAAATTTTGAAGGGAAATTACTTACTGATGTTAATCATAGTTTTAATCTATTCTCTACTTGGTCTTTTTTTCCAGACTTTGTAAAAAGAGTGTTCTCATAGAACTCTTCTCTCTTCCAGAGCTTAAGCTTACTTTGAAAACTTAAATAGCTATTTCTTTGACGCTGGTGACTCTTTAGTAAAGTTAGTGTTTCTGTGAACTTTCTGAAGGTGACAGCCACTCAAGCGGCAGCGGTAGAGAAGGCCCGTTTAAAGAGACAGTGACCCTGAAGTGGTGCACGCCCAGGACCAACAGCATTGGTGAGTAGACAGGACTGGGGGACCAGAGCACGCCAGAGGTCTTCTGACTGTGATGCCAGACCATGAATTTCTTTTAACGGTAGGATATTTCATTATATTCCTTCAAATCAGTGTTTTCCTTTGTTTCAGAACTACACTATTGCACTGGAGCTTATCGGATCTCCCCTGTAGATGTAAATAGTAGACCTTCTTCCTGCCTCACTAATTTTCTCCTCAATGGTAATTGTCCTAATTTAACATCTTAACTGCAGCTACTGTTGAGTGGAGTCTTTAGTGTCACCATAGGTGGAAGTAGCCTTTGACAGTTTTGCTGAGGGTCAGAAAATGACTTTCTTTCTGATTTCCAGGCTATTATTACATCTTAGTAAGTTTTATCCAACATAGTTTTAAGAATTTTTGTTAAAATTTTGATCTTTAAAGTCTGACTTGACACTTATTTGGAAGCTAGAATAGCAGACCTTCATCTTGGCCCACTGAATTAAATAGTATATGTGGATGAGTTTTCTTTGAATACTTCACCCTTATTGTATATAAATATTATATTTCCAGCATCTCACCATATGATTCTTACTGAGACCTAAAATTTATGGTTTATTTTACTTACTTATTTTACGTCTCAATTATTGATTTCCATCCTCTAAATCTAAATTTTCAAAGCTCTTCTGGTAACAGGATAATCTAAGTTTTGGAGCTATTGATCTAAAAAAAAAAATCTGTCTTTTTTTTGTAAGGTTCTTTTCATTGTTATATTAAGTATGGTTTGATTATCAGAATATGTAAAATCCAAATTCAATAGCATTTGGCATGTGAACTAGAAACTTACAACGACTGTGCTACCAAGGTAGTATTGTGGGAGAATTGAGACTGTGCCTTTTCCTCAAATACTTTGTATCTTAATAACCTTAGAATTTCTTGGTAGTTTAATTTTCATTTTAAATGTCTATGAGGAAATTGAGTACAGCATACCAACATGCCATTATAATTGTTTTTGGGAAACTAGCCATATAACTATGTAAACTTTAAAGAGTCTGAGAAAAGCTAAGTGTTAGGAATGTGTAGATACACTAGCTTAGCTGTGCCAATTAAAATATGATTGTTTGAGTTCTATTACCGACAACTTGATCTGGCTTCTGACAGGTCGATCCGTGTTGTTGGAACAGCCACGAAAGTCAGGTTCCAAAGTCATCAGTCACATGCTTAGCAGCCATGGAGGAGAGATCTTTTTGCATGTCCTTAGCAGTTCTCGCTCCATTCTAGAAGATCCGCCTTCCATTAGTGAAGGCTGTGGAGGAAGAGTTACAGACTACCGGATCACAGTGAGACTTTTAAAAAGACGCTTATTTTATGTGTATGTTTGTGCACTGTGTGCATGGTGGGTACCTTTGGAGGCCAGAGAGGATTTGGGGTCCTCTAGAACTGGAGTTACAGACAGTTGTTAGTCACTGTGTGGGTGCTGGCAATCTAACCTGGGTCCTCTGCAAGAGCAGCCAGTGCTCTTAACCACTGAGCATCTGTACAGCCCTGGCATAAAGCTTTATTATCTGTAGATTTTGTTTCAAGTCACTTAGCAAGAGTTGTTTGTTCTGTGTTAAGGTTTTGGGGAAAGTGGTCTCAACGAAGCTGACGGTTGTTTCCGTAACCAACATCACTGTGTCATCTCTGCCATGTGATGTAGTCAGTGACTAGGAAGTGTCTGGGTTCTGAAACACTGGAGTTACAGAGAAGATTAAATGAGTGCTTTCCTTTGCATATATTGATATTTCAGGGCCGCTTGTTTTGTGATGGTTGTGGAACTTAAATGTGGATTTATGTATATAACTATACTCGATAAACTACCAAGTATTATATAACTTAATTATTTTATTAGGCTTTTTGAGTAATTATTTTTAAGGGGCTGAAAGTCAATCAGTATTCATTATGGAAAACTGAGAATGTACAAACATCTAAAAACCAACAAAACAAAAACCCTGATTTACCTATAATTCCATTATCCAGAGATTAACACTCATCATTTTGATGTTCTATCAGAGCAGCTTTTTCATAAGCAAACTGGACTTGCAATGTGATTAACTCACACACATATGAAAGAAAACGGTTAAATCATAGGAATGAAGTGGGGCATGCTTCATTTCCATGGTGTAAATGTTGATAGGCTTCAACTTGAAGGCGGGCGGGGCAAGCACTGAGATGGGGCCACTGTTAGAGAAGGGCTGTGCTGACAGTCACAGGAAGAGGACATGAGGGAAATGACGTCAGATGTAACCCGTGCTGCAACACTAGACTAGTTTCTAATTGTGTCTTATCTGGTTATCATTAGGATTTTGGTGAATTTATGAGGGAAAACAGGTTAACTCCTTTTCTAGACCCCAGATATAAAATCGATGCAAGTCTAGAGATCCCGTTGGAACGTGCAAAGGATCAGTTAGAAAAGCACACCCGTTACTGGCCCATGATTATTTCACAAACCACCATTTTCAACATGCAAGCGGTGAGTCTCGTTTTACTTTTTTTTTTTTTTTTTTTTTGGATTAATGTGTATTTATAAACATATTTGTAGAAAAAATTTGAAAAGTTTGTAATTGGTTCCATTTCTCAAGCAAGAAAGGAAACGTGAATTTGTTGCGGTTGAAGAATTAGTGACTGAGGAGAGAAACAGCAGTTACGTGTCCCCTCCCTGTGGCCTTCGTTAAGCCAGCTTTAAATCAACTTTGTCCTTAATGCTGTGATGCTTGGTTTTCAAGACAGATTTTCTTTTTCTTCTCTTTTTTTTTTTTTCATTTTTTAACCTAACAGGTAGTACCATTAGCCAGTGTTATTGTGAAAGAGTCTTTGACAGAAGAAGACGTGTTAAACTGTCAGAAAACTATATACAACTTGGTTGATATGGAAAGGAAAAATGACCCTCTTCCTATTTCTACAGTTGGTACCAGAGGAAAGGGCCCTAAGAGGTAGTGCTGTTTTCTTTACTTTTTCACATGTCATGCTTACTTAATGGATGTGATTTTGTAAGATAATCTGAGGGGATGTATGTGTATGTATGTGTAGGTATGAGGGAGACACAGGATAGTAGGCACTGCTACAGTGTAACTTGGTTTCTGCCATTAACTATGCAGTAAAAGGAAAGAAATATCTCTACTTCTGTTTCATTTGCCATAGCAAGTGAGGTCAGCAGCACTTAATGTTTAGATGTTTAAACATAAGGAGCATTTCTGAGAATGCGTTTGACCTTTACTCCAGGGATGAACAGTACCGTATCATGTGGAATGAATTAGAGACCCTTGTCAGAGCCCATGTCAGCAACTCAGAGAAGCATCAGAGAGTCTTGGAGTGTCTGATGGCCTGTCGGAGCAAGCCCCCGGAAGAAGAAGAGCGGAAGAAGCGAGGGAGGAAGAGAGAGGACAGGGAGGACAAGTCAGAGCAAGCAGTGAAGGAGCACGGGCCGGAAAAGCCCCGGCCAGACTCAGACAGGTGACTTGTTTTGTTAGCAGATGCCTGGGCCTGTGCTTTGCCGGTAGCACTCCATCTCCTACGAGCTTGTCCATTCTTTAACTGCACTTCAGTTACAACGTCTTTCTTTGCTGTAAAAAGGTGCAAGCTTTTACTATTAGGGCACAAACTGTGTTAATTTTTCCTAACTAGTTTTTGGTTATTATTATGACGTTTGATGCCAGTATGCACTTTGAATATTGTAAATTTCGAAAACATAATTTTATGTTCAGTGAGTGATTTGCCAGGCATTTGTCATAAGATCCCATTCTAAAAGAACATTCTGCCTTATATTAGAGACAGGTCACACTTCAGTGACCACAGCAAAGTGGAAGGCACTATCTTATATGAATTAGTGCAAGCTGCCCTTTGGAACAATCCTAATTCTGACATCATTTCTGAGCAGCATGATGTTTGCTCTTAGTGACATCAAGGTTGATTTATAAAAACTATAAAAAGTAATAAAATGTTACATTGTGGGCCAGCAAGATGTCTCATGGAGTAAAAGTGCTTGAGGCCATCCTTGACTGCCTGAGTTGGATTCCTAGGACCAACATGGTGAAGGAGGACTGACCCTGGAATGGGGTCCTCTGACCTTCACACACATGCCATTGTGCATGTATTGGCCCCCCACCTCCACCCCCATTTTAAAAGTTTTTTTTTTTTTAAAGATTTTATTTATTATGTATACAGTGTCTTGCCTGCACATATGCCTGCAGGCCAGAAGAGGGCACCAGATCTCATTACAGGTGGTTGTGAGCCACCATGTGGTTGCTGGGAATTGAACTTGGGACCTCTGGAAGACCAGTCAGTACTCTTAACCTCTGAGCCATCTCTCCAGCCCTTAAAAGTTTTAAAACTTAACAAATATTGTAAATGTATCATCTTCTACCTTCTTGCTACAAATCAGGCAAGACAGCTAGGTGAGTATTGTTGGTGACGCTGGGACATGTCCCTAAAAACAGCAGAACTTTTCATTATAGAAAATTTCAAACACACACAACTGTATAACAAATAGCCCCTGCCTTCACAATTACTAATTCATGACAGATCTCTGCTCACACATACATGTTTCCACATCTACTACCTTCACCACTGCTCTGTAGAAATACATCAACAGCAGTTCTGGAGATCCTATTCATTTCTAGGTAGGTAGAACACTTTGTCTCAGTAGTTTAAGAAGTGCACTTTTTCCTGCCAATTGTCGGAAGAGGAAAGAACTACTTTAGCCCCAACTGACCTTCAGTGTACAGCCTTGTGCATATGTGAGAAGTATTTCTCTTGCTGGGGAAGCCTAATAAAAGCTTAGAGTAGGACCTTTAATCCCAGCACTTGGGGAAAAAGAGTCAAGTGGATCTCTGTGAGTTTGAGGTCAGCCTGGTCTATGTAATGAGTTTCAGGCCAGCCAGAGCTATATGGTGAGACCCCATCTCAAGAAAAAAACCTTAGAGTGAGGCTTCCAAGTAATAAAGCCTAAATACATTCTGTACATAAATTGGTTGTAACTCTGTGGGTTTGGTCCCGGGTTTCGGCACCAACAATGTGAGTAAATTTGTTGCAACAACTCTGGGGAAAGGTGTCCTGACTACCTGGGGAGTCAGGCAACACCTTGAGCTGCTTAGGACAGCTCTGACGGCTGGAACGGCGGCAAGGAGACAGTTCAGCCCTGGAGGGCAAGATATCCCAGACACCTTGAGCTGCTCAGAACAATAGCTCTGCCCTGAAGGTGTCCCGGACACCTGGAGCTGTTTAGCACAACTCTGACAGCTGGAACTGCAAAGAAGCAGCCCAACCCTGGAAGGGAAATTTTTCTGACTTCTCGGGAAAGTCAGGCCTGGAACTACTTCAGCAGGGAAGGGTATCCTGACTGTTTGGGAAAGTCAGTGTATACCTGGTGTGATGGGGGATGGTCTCCCTGCAGGATATAGCAATCCTGCTCCTTTCCTGGAGAGTTTCTACAGCTGAGCTTTGCTTAGCCCCCACTTAAGGGGCCTTCCTAGCAGAGCTCTGCTTCTCCAGCCTAAGATGTTGCTTCTTTTGCTTCACTCTGCAAAAGGGGAAACCCCTGCAGAAATGTAGCAATCTCCTCCGGCTCCAGAGAAAAGTGTTACTTTTTAGCTCTCTCTTGCTCTGTCCACTGAGGGAAGTAAAGATTTTCTGTTCAGCTCCTCCTTGCTCTGCTCTTTCAGTTCTCCCTTGTTTTGTCCACTGAGGGACATCTCAGCAAGGATCTTCTCTGTGCCAGTGAATGAATATCTTCACATCCAAAACTCTTTTGAGAAAGAGATTTATTTGGGAAGGAGGAGTCCTGGACAGTAGCTGCTTCTTCTACCAGGGTGGAGAGAATAGCCTTTTTTTTTTTTGAACTGACCAGGCAGGGCGTTTACACAGGATGTCTTGGGGGTGAAGTCAACCAGGGATTGACTTGGGGCCCAGGGTTCTACTGTCCTGCTCTGTGATTGGTTGGTTTCACAAGTCAGTTGGCCAGGGGCAGAGATGACTCTGATCTGACTTAGCCAAACTGTGTTTCTTTCTGCCCTGATCTGAACCATCTTTCCCTAGTTCTGGGCTCTAGGGTCAGGGTGGGTTTCTTTAGCCAGCCCCTTTTCTCTACATTCCCCCACTTTTTTGTTTAGTAATAAGCAGCTGGGGGTTGGAAAGAGGGTGAAGTCGTCATTAGACTGCTTCCTGCTGAATTGGGGCGTTGAGGTTCTTGGGACAATCTTGATCTTCTTCCTCAGGATGTAACCAGGTTCTGCAGATCTCTGGCTTTGTTGATAGGGGCTCGTAATCCTGTAATATTAACTGGTTCAGAGTTTGGTTAGAAATATTTTGGATCTGTTGCTGAAGAAAACTAGCAAAGAGGTTCATAATAGAAAAGTCTAAAGGTGAGGACAGCCCTGGGAGCTGGGTACAATTAGTAGGGCTAAGAAAAGGAAGAAAAGAGGGGATAAGAAGGGTAGTATCTATTTCCATATCAGACTATTAGTGATCTGCTGTCTAGAGGTATCAAGCTGTATCTGAGTCTGAAGATCCATTTGGATTTGTTGGATCTTATCTTTCACATTCCCCATTACATAGACCGCACCACACATGACAATAAGGTCATAATCTTATTTGTATTTGAGTAGATTTTTTTTTTTATTTTTAAAATGTGAAATGTCTTCTGGACATTACATTGTTTCTAACTTTTAACTATTAACTTAAGTTCTCTGGTTTGGTTTTCCCTTTTATCTGACCAGTCCCTGAACTGTTACTGCTAAAAAGGGAAGTAAAGTTGTGTTGAACTCATTAAATCCTTTAATATGATTTTTTAGATTCTTTTGTGAGATCAAATATTTTATGAAAACTGATATACACAGATAGTGTACTTACTGGGCCATTTATAGACTTGTAAATTAAACTTGGCTTTGTTATCTGTCCCTCTGCAAGGTTGAAGGGGATTTTAGAACGAGGGAAAGAAGAGTTGGCTGAAGCAGAGGTTATAAAGGACTCACCTGACTCCCCAGAACCTCCAAACAAAAAACCTCTTGTTGAAATGGACGAGACGCCACACATGGAAAAGTCTAAAGGTAAGGACAGCCCTGGGAGCCGGGGTGGTTTTCAGCACAGCTCTTGTTTGTGCAATATTACTTCACACTATGTCTATGAGGAAGAGCTCCTCATGTCCAGATATCAGACAGGAGATTCTGTTCACAGCCTTGGAAGTAAAGACATCATTCAACATTTCAAAAAATAAATAAATAAGAAAAATAGTAGCAGTACACTCTATAATGAAGACTTAAAAAAAAAGTGCTTCATGTAAAGTCTGTCCAAAAAAAATTGTAAACTAGAAGGTGAAATCTGCTTGTGTCCTGAAACTACCAGGTGCTGTTTATGGAGACAGACTCTTTCCTAAGCCCCTTTATCATTACTCATTTTTTCAGTTAATGACCAAAGTCATTGTTTTATTCTGACATTTGTATTACATACATTGTGGTGTGTTGCTCATAGTTCCCCTCCACATACAACACTGTCTTGTCCCTGCTCTCCCCTCAACAGTCCTCTCTTCTAAGTAGTCCCCTTCCACTTTTATGGATGCATGTACATACACATAAAAGTGTGGATTCTACATGTGAGAGAAAAGGATATGTGTTGTTCTCCCTCCACCCACCTCATAGTATCCAGGGAAGAATGTAGTGATACTTATTTAGTAGTAAATTAAGATGTGACCTGACCAAGCTTAAGTGAAGATATTGCTATAAACCATATTTTTACCATAAAATCTTTAATCTTATTTATAGGCTGAGAAGCTTAATTTCCTTTTGAAGTAATTCTTGGTCCAAAAGATGGGGCTTGGACTCAAGTTCCTGATGTCATTCTGGGCCTTGGTGTCCTTGAAGGTTACCTGGGCTCAGTTCTCTTAGGGACCATGGGAAATCATCAGACTATCTGGTGCCTAGTACCTGTGTGTCTCCTAGATAGCAAAAGCAGGGCGGCCTCACTTGCAGTTGGCTGGTCATCCTTGGAGCAGGCACGCTGGTTTGCTCCTCAGAGCTGTCAGTATATTGGGACACACTGATGCTTCAGTCCCCCAATCTCCTTGCAGTTGGACAATCAGAGGTCGCCTTGAGGTGGTCTTCTGGTGTCCACTTGCTGTGGGATAATCCTTTTATACACTGTGAAGATGTGTTACTCTCATTGGTTTACTAAAGAGCTAGCTGGCCAATAGCTAGGCAGGAAGAAATCAGACAGGAGAGCCAGACTGAGAGAACACTGGGAAGAAGGGCGACATCGCCAGCCAGATGCAGAGGAAGCAGGACGTGTAGAAAATGAGATAACAAGCCATGAGCCGTGTGGTAGCACATAAATTAAGAAATATGAGTTAATTTAAAAAACAAGAGTTAGCTAGTAAGAAGCCTGAGCTATTGGCCGAGCATTTATAATTAATAAAGTTTCTGTGTGGTTATTTGAGAACTGGTTGATGGGAAAGAAAAGAGGCACCCACCGTGGGTTGTGTTTCTTATAGTTTCTTATTAACTTCATATGCGTGTGTGAGTGAGTGTGTGTGTGTGTGTGTGTGTGTGTGTGTGTATGGGCTGCTGTTAGCAAAATGTAGACTAGAATTAAGTTTTGATATATAAAGAAAAGAAACAAACCATGGAAAATAGAAAAGAGACGCAGAGTTCTGTGCTATAGACCATCCTTGCTTTGTGCTGGAATCATCACAGGAACTGTTCCCATTGGACTTAGATTAGTCTCAGAATCTCGAGGAAACATGGATTGAAGGAGATGAACTTGCTGTACTGAGAAAAGGTACCCAGCCACATGGCAGGGCGTAGATAAGAAGTATAGGTTAATTTAAAATGTAAGAAGCTAGTAACAAGCCTGAGTTATTGGTCCAGCATTTATAATTAATAAGTTTCTGTGTAGTTATTTGGGAACTGGCTGGCAGGAAAGAAAAGTCTGCCTACATCCACTTCTCAGGCCATTGCCAGAGTTAGAAATGATAGGATTTAAATCAGTGTCTACTGATAAATTATACACTTTACATGTGGATTAGAATGAGAAATTTAGGTGTACTTTAAAGAATTTTTTTTATTCTTTGCAATTTCATACATGTATAAAGTGTATCTGAATCATGCGCCCAATTCCTGCTGCCCTCTGTCCCTATATGTCCCTCTCCCACCTTCATGTCTTCCGTTCTACGTTACAACCTAAACCCCTGTGTCTCTTGTGACCAGCAGCATTCCTGTTTGGTCTGTTCTGGAGAAGACTCTCCCTCTCCGTCCTCCAGCCAGTTGTGTGCCTGGTGAACACACTGCCCTTAAGGCCAGTTCTTCTAAGTGCCCTGTGCATTTGCTGAAACTGTTCAGCTTTCCTGGCAGGGTACAGTGCCTGAGTATTATAAAATGAACAACGGAAGTGAGAGTTAAGTTTGTTACATTTAATTTTTCTTTTCTTTCTGCTATAACACCAGGGCCAGTGTCCTTATTATCCTTGTGGAGTAACAGAATCAACACTGCCAATTCCAGAAAGCACCAGGAGTTTGCTGGACGTCTGAACTCTGTCAATAACAGAGCTGAGTTATATCAACACCTTAAGGAGGAAAATGGGTTTGTGTAATTTCCTGTAGAAACTGATTTGTTGATTGTTAGTCCCGAAATGAAAACTGCTTGCTTGTGGTCAGCAGTTTTTTTTTTTTTAAACTGCTATTATGAGCTAATCCCTTCTGCCTCTAAGGAGAAAGTGATTAACCTGTCAGACCTTTGGTGCTCATAAAAGGTCCAGTTTATTGATTGTAATTATGAAACTGTCTGTTGCTTATAGCACTGTTTTCAGGGGGAAAATCACATGCTGAATCTAATGTTAAGTGTTAGAGTAAATTTCAGACATGATTATTTTAATCAGTTTAAGGAGAAATACTCCTACAGTATATTGTTAAAGTAATTTCTTGTGTAGATATCTTTGACTAAATGGAGGAGACTTCCCTTTTCTTTGCTTGGAGAATGGAGGGTGGTGGTGTGGGGAGGACTCTTAGGGAAGTCCCCTGATCTTCACAGGCTCTGCTCTCTCTCATGTGCACAGTGAGGAGGTCGGACTGACTGGAGGACCCCGAACTTCAATCCCTTTCTTAAAGTGCTCACATTCTCCTGTTGTTAATAGGTTAGATTTTAGTTCCAATGGGTAAAAGTAGGTAAAAATACGGATTTCTAGTAAATGTTTTAACTTACCATCTCATTTTCCCCCTTCTAAACTTTTCAGGATGGAGACAACAGAAAATGGAAAAGCCAGCCGTCAGTGAAGAGTGACTTGAGAAACTAAGTTTGGTATATTGCAAAAATATTTTGGGCAGAATTTGATATAAGTACTTTTACAGCAAGATTGTATAGCTATGTTGCCTGGACTGGTTTTTACATTTTTAAAGAATTTCAACAAATTATCTTTTTTGTACTAATTCTAAGATTGGCAGAGTCAAAATATATACATTTGAGATTTGTCCTCCCAAATCACAGTTTATTTTATGGTAAAAGGTGTTCCCTCTGGAAATGTTTTTTAAAAAAATTCATAGGCTTCTCTTTGCCAAATAAAACTATTAAAATGTATGAAATGCAAAGTATTGGAGTGTTGCTTTAGAAAAAAAAGATATATTACTCTCAGTTCTAACAGGAATTTATAAAACTCGATCAGAATTTAGGGGAGATTTGTAGTGTTTAACATGAGATCTTAACTGTCTGCATTATGTACAGCTAGCCCTTCTCCAAGGCAGACTACTGGGTAGGTTTCATTTTTAATGCTTTGCCTTTATGTGCACATGAGTTTGTCTGCTACCCATTTAAGCCAGAATTTTCAAGTAGTCAGTGTGACTTTATATTATCAGTTTGACATAATACATTTTTTTTTCTGTTAATTTTTTGTTTCATTTTGTTTTTCAAGACAGGGTTACCCAAGTGACAGATCTAGGCTTCAGCATGCAGACACAATCCAGAATCACTTTTTAGTTGAAACAATTTGTATTTGTTGAAAGACAAACTGTACCTTGCCTAAATCATATCTCTGAAGATTCTGTAATGCATCCAGATATAACACTCAGTTTAGATGTTTATTGCAAACAGACCCTCCTCCCCAAGTTCAAAATGAGTATCAGTTTCCATTCAGGTCGTCTTCAGTTTGGAAGTTCTGGGGAATTGCCACAGAGTGAGCCACATGCCAGATGTGGTGCTAAGTACATATTTCATTTTGTCTTTACAATCAGTGCATTGAGATAATCAAGAAAAGGGAAAGTAATAGAGCTAGGTTTTGAGCCTCAAATTTTCACTATTGATAATGAATTTTTTTTAAAGGATTTTTAGTGTGTATGAGTGTTTGCCTTATATATGTATGTGCAGTGTGTGCATGCTTGGTGCCCGTGGAGGCCAAAAGGAATATCAGGTGCCCTGGAACTAGAATTACAGATGGTGTGAACTGTTACGCCGTGCCAGGAACCAAACCCTGGTCCTCTGCAAGAGCAGCCAGTATTTTTAACTGCTGAGCCATCTCTCCAGCCCTTTGTTTTGTTTTTAAAAGATTTTAAATAGTATTTTCTGTTTGACAGCTTCACACGTATACTGTGTCTTTTGATCATATCAGCTTCCTGCCCCTCTTTCTAACCTTACTGCTCCTCTTTTCTTTCTTATAACCCTTTGAGTCTAGTTAGTGTTCCCTGCAGATACATAGCTGTGCAACCATTGATGAGAGCTTGGGCAGAGGTTACAGCCCTGAGGAAAAATGATTCCTTCCTCCCCTAGCAGATGTCAAGTGCTGGTACCTCCTCAATCAAGTAGGGATGTCACCTCAAGCCCAACCCTATCCATGCTGGAACATTAACTGACCTGATCTTGTGTGAGTGTGCAGGGTGGTGGGGGTGGTACCATAGCTGCTGGGAGTTCATGAGTACAATGACCATAACCGAAGACCATTCACCAGATTCCTCCCTACGCTCTAGCTCTTACATCCCTCTTCCATGCAATCCCCAGAGTATTGGCAGTGGTTGATACAGATGACCCATTTAGGGCTGAGCACCCGACAGTCACTTATTCCCAGGACTTGGACAGTTATGAGTCTGCATCGACTGCTGCCCAATTCCAAAAGAAGCTGCTTTGACCAAGAATCTTAGGCACTGGTTTTCCCAGAACATTGATGCTGTAGAAGCTCTCCCCTGAGGGGAGTGGGGATCTATGAGTAAGCAGTTGTTAATAGCGTGAGAGGAATGGATTTAGGAAACACTGAAGGATTGCAGGCTTGTCAGACCCTCTTCCTTTAATGAATTCTACAGTACTGCTTATTTGATGGCCTTGTAATCTTTGTACACTCTTGAAGTAAATTCATAAGCTGGGTGAGGTATGATTCTGTAGCAAATAATCTGGAAGTTGATAATATTCTTCTTTTGGCATCTGGCAAGCTGTTGGGGTGAGTAAGGAAAACAAAGACTTGACTATTTCATGCTCATTTTGTTTGGCTCCATTGAAGTTACATTAGCCCTTCGCTCCCTTGGAGCATCTTTGAGAATTTTGAAGTAGTCTCCTGCTTTCCGTCTTACATCCTATAATTCAGGTAAGGTTTGCAGAGCTTGCTGCTGCAATTCTTGCAGTAGTGCAGAAATGTAACACGAATCTTAAATGTTCTTATTAATAAGAACAAACCCAAAGCCAGGTATTGGGGTGAACGCTGGAAGATCAGAGCAGCAGAACAAACCACAGCCACCTCACCTTGCCAATTCCTCAGGTGATCCTGTTTCCTCAGACTGGAGGCCTCTGAGTCCTCATCCAGAATGGCTCTCAGCTGAACTGCTACTCAAAAGCCTAAAAGCGCCGGGCAGTGGTGGCGCACGCCTTTAATCCCAGCACTCGGGAGGCAGAGCCAGGCGGATCTCTGTGAGTTCGAGGCCAGCCTGGGCTACCAAGTGAGTCCCAGGAAAGGCGCAAAGCTACACAGAGAAACCCTGTCTCGAAAAACCAAAAGAAAAAAAAAACACCTAAAAGCTTAACCCGCGTTAGTTCCTGGTTTTCACGCCTTATATACCTTTCTGCTTTCTGCCATCACTTCCTGGGATTAAAGGCGTGAGTCACCATGCCTGGCTGTTTCCAGTGTGGCTTTGAACTCACAGAGATCCAGATGGATCTCTGCCTCCCAAGTGATAGGATTAAAGGTGTGAGTGCCACCATTTTCTGGCCTCTATGTCTGTCTAGTGGCTGTTCTGTTCTCTGAACCCAAATAAGTTTATTAGGGTGCACAGTATTTTGGGGAACACAGTATCACCACACAACAGTATTCCATAGGCAGCAGAGTGACCTAGTGAAGCAATGGCTGGCATGCCACCTCAGCCAGCACTGGGATGGCCTCACGGTCCCTAGAGAAAGATTCAGGTGGAAGTGTTCTGCCAGTCTTTGTACCAAAGACACTCTGGAACACCAGGAGCCTTGGCAGTTGCGCTGAGTGGTTTCAGGTAGTCTGCGGGCCTCGTCTTTGAACTCTCTCCAGCCCTAGCAATGAAGATAACACCACCAGCACAACCAGGTGGGTGGTGCACGCCTTTGATCCCAGCACTCAAGAGACAGAGGCAGGCTATCTCTGAGTTTGAGGCTGGCCTGGACTACAAAGCAAGTTCAGGATAGTCAGGGCTACGTAATAAGACCCTGTCTCAAAAAACAACAACCAAAAACAAACCAGCACAGCTGGGGCTTCTGCTTAATCAGCAGTCCTTTATCTGTGCTCCTGCAGATGATGTTCTGTGTTCCATACTTCCTGTACCACCAAAGACGGAGGGGAGTGTCCTTAAGTAGTGGAAACTAAGGTTCAGACTAGGTGGCTAACATGCCTAGAGGGACAAAAGAGGGCTTGATTTAAGTCCAAAATCCAGGTGTTTTTTATTTCAAACTGAAAGGTGGGATGCTACGCTGGGAAAGTGGCAGATTTTGGAGTAAAAGATACATAACCAATCTGCTAGACTGGTTAGATTTTACATTAACTGACAAGAGCCCCAGTTTCTTCAAGTAAAAAAGGGAATGAACTTACCTTGCAATGATGTTTCCATATTAATTGATATACTTCATGAGTTTCTTGGCAAGAGATCATCACTCCACCAAGCTTATCTGTTCTTTCCTCTTCCCTCCGGCCTTCCCTTCTCCTTGCTTCCTCACCCTCTTTCCGGTCTTTCTCTTCACCTACTGGAGTCATTGCCTCTCTCCACCCATCTTCACATCATAGTGGAGTCTTCCTTCCATTCCCTCCTCTGCTTGTCCTTTACTCTCCCTCTCACACCCAGACCAACATGAGTCCACTCTCAGATGAAGTACTGCTTAGTGGCTCTGGGTACCTCCTGCACTGCTTCTGGCCTTGTTCTGACCCATGGGTCGGGCTGTGCCTCAGCTGGAGTCATTGAAGAGAAGCAACTAGAATGCTAGCTCTCACAGATCCTTAGTTACTATGGAGATATGCTGTAATGCCAAGCCCCAAATCATAGGGAAGATAAAAATTGTCCTAGGAAAGGGAAGTAGTGAGAAATATATTCAGTTTTTATGCATTCTTATAGGACTGCCATTCCTTTTTTTCTTTTCTTTCAAGACAGGGTCTCCCTTTACAGCATAGGCTGACCTCAAATTCATGGCAATCCTGCCTCAGCCTCCTGAGTGTGAGGTTTCACTTGCAAGATTTTCACATATATTCATTTTGTAAAATGCTATGAGGATTTTTAAAACCCAGGATCGGCTTACCTCTCCAGCCTCATTTCCTGTCACTCCCCAACTGTCCCTGTGTATTAGCAATAGGAGGCTGCAGTGGCTCCCAACACACCTCGCTTAGTCCACCTTTGGGCTCAGTGGTTTTTGACTTCTTCAGTATCTAGAAACCTGCCTTTTAAAAATAATAATAACAACAACAAATCCAGCATTGATACTAACTCAGCTTTTGCCAACATCTTCCCAAATAATGTTCAAACTGAATATGGCCTCCACAGCATGCAAGTGTTCCCACTGAGTCCACTGTACTGTATTACTTATACTTTTTAGTTTGTATTTCTGTGTACCTTGCTGGTGTATTAACTGTGAACTCTATCAGAGGCTTCTTCATATTAACTCCTAGACCAGAAACCCGGTAAGCAGATGATACATTCTTCTGAAAGAGACACTAAATGCGGAAATGCAGAAAGAAGAGAAGGGCTCGGCACTGATGTATGTGGAAGTACTTTATAAATTGTGGGCTGCTGTTTGGGGGCAATTGGCTGATTCTGCAGTTCTGCAAATACATTGAAATTATTTTAGAAGCTAAAGGCAGCTTTCTTTTTTAAAATTGTAGGTTGAAAAAAAAACAGCAGATGACAGTTATCTCTATTTAAAAGTTACTTAAGAAGGGCAAGGGAAATGGCTGCAGTATCACAAGAACCTGGGTGTGATCCCCAGCACCCACATAAAAGCTGGGCGTGGCAGTGAGTACCTGCAGTTCCCACACAGGAGCCAGAGATGGGAGGGCCTCAAGGACTGGCTGGCCAGCCCCTCCAGCTGAAACGGTAATAAACTCCAGGTTCAGTAAGAAATGTCTCAAAAAATAATGTGGGAGCCAGGAATGATGGCACATGTCTTCAGTCCCAGTACTGGGCAGACAGTTCAAGGACAGGCGAACCGACACAGAGAACGCTGCCTTAAAAAATTAGGAATAAAAATGATGAGGGAAGCTGGGTGGTGATGGCGCATGCCTTTGGTCTCAGCACTTGGGAGGCAGAGGCAGGTGGATCTCTGAGTTTCAGGATGGGCTCCAAAGCTACACAAAGAAACACTGTCTTAAAAAAGAAAAAGAAAAAAAAAAAAGATAGGATAGAGGATGACACCCAAAGTCAACTTCTGGCCCCTCATACATACATGGAGTTGAGCACACATGAAAGTAGGAGGGACTTGTGGTAAAGATGCGGTTCAGTGAGAGAAGAGAATTGGGAGGGATTGTGATCATAGTACATTATATAGGCATGGAGTAGTGAACACATTTAAGAACAAGGCTATAAAAGAAGAAATGGAAGAAAAACCTGTATGACCTAGGATCATGCAAACAATTCTTAGGATGTAAGAATTGCATAGTGACTAGAATGGTTACTTCCAGCTGGCAGTATTGGGTGCTGGCAGGAAAACTGGGGCATTCATGCACAGTTAATGAGGTTGCCAAAGGGCTCAGCTACTGTGAAAAAGAGAAGAGAATCAAACTGATCATCAAAGGAATGAAGCCTTCATTTGATTTCTGAATTTTCTGGCTTAAGAATTAGCAAAAGAAAGGTGGTCCTGTCACTGTCAACAGTTACTGGGAGCCCTTTGTATGTACTATAACTGCTCAAGCATAAGAACCATCCTGTTTCTATACAGTCAGGGCAGACAGAAGCAGGAACAAAGCAGCCTTACCAATACAGTGAGCCAGGAATGTGGGACAGGCTTGTAGCCCAGCGTTTGGTAGGCTAAGGCAGGAAGATGGTGAGTTGGAAGCTAGCCTGGACTAAAGAACAAGTCCCTTCTGTTTTTCTTATTTTGAATTCTTATTTGAATTCTTAAAATATCCACTTTAACATTTGCTATTTATTCATTTAAATTGTGCTAAAAAACAAAAACAAAAAACCAGCTAGGACCTCCCATTTGATTGACAAGCCCTCTGCTGAGCCACAGCCCGCCCCCCTTCATTTGCTTCCTTTGTTGTTTGTTTTTGTTTTTTGAGATAAGGTTTATTCAAACTCAGGCTCCTGATCTTTTCTGCCACCCCCAAGTGCTAGAATTGCAGAACTATACTGCCATGCCTGGCTTCTTGCTTTCTTTTAACAGGAAATCCCTCCTTTTAAGCTGATTTTTTTCAGGTATTCTGTTCCAGCAATAGAGACATGACCAATACACAGCTGTTATCTTGATAGATACTATTTCTTCCTTATTCCTTTACGTCATTACCTTGTTCTGGAATAATCATTAGACCTCACTGTTTGGTGTTTGTGCACGAGCCCTGGCTCACATGTGAAGTCAGAGGACAACTTGTGGGGGTCAGTTCTTTCCTTCCACTGTGTGGGTTCCAGGATTGAACTCAGGTCGTCAGGCTTGGCCTCGTCTGAGCCATCCTGCTGACTCTAAATCTCACTCTTTCAACTTTTGTTTCATATTTTCATCTCTATTTAGGATATGTTCAGAATTCCTTTGTGTCTGTCTTCCCATTTGCAAATCCTTTCTTCAGGTATAGACATTTCTTTCTTCTGTGACCACTCCTGTCTACTCACACTTTTATTTTTGACTTCTAAACATTCTGTTTGGTTACTTTAAAACACGTTGCTGGGTGGTTTTATTTATTGCACATGCCATAAATCCCAGCACTCTAGAAGCAGAAGCAGGCGGATTCATGAGTTCAAGGCCAGCCTGGTCTACAGAGTGAGTTATAGGACAGCCACGGCTACACAAAGAAACCCTGTCTTGAAAAATAAAAATAAAAATAAAAAAATAAATGTTTTGTTATTTAGGATGCCTTGTTCTTTGCCTTCAGTATCTTACTTTTAAGGATGTTGTGCCCCCAAACAAGGAATTGGACAGAGGGACAAGCAAAGTGAGAGAATTTTGTGGTAATTTTTAGGATTACATTAAAATAAGTAAATAAATAAAATGAAAAATACATTAAAACATCAGGAGGGTAATACATTTAAGAAAGAAAATGTCAAAGCATTTATCTACAGTTCCCTAACTTGGGTGGGGAGAAACTTGTTTGGCAGAGTGTTAATGGGCTGGCAGGAAGTGTTTTGTTTGTATTCAAATAAGCTTGGAAACTCTGGCTGAGGTTAACATAGGCAGGACTTTTAAAGGACCATGTAACATTTAAACATGTAAACATGGGTTTACAAATGAGAATAGGCCCTTGAGCTCCTAACTTCGCGCGCGCGCGCGCGCAGCACACACACACACACACACACACACACACACACACACACACACACATACTCACACTCCACTGTCATTTCTGATGATGACTGCTATCCCAAGCCAACTGGAAGTGGGTAGAGAGCCTGGTTGAAAGGTTTACAACAAGCCCCCACGGTCAGGCGTGTCTGCCTATGCCTGGCGGATACTTCCGCCTGGCTAGGTCCAGGTCCAGATAGCCATTTCCGGGTCAGGGCATCTCGCGGGACCAAGATCCATGACGTCCCACTAGCCACGTAAGCGCGCAACGTGGCCATGTGATCTACGCGCTTGCGTGTAGTAGTGACGCTGATCTGTCCACGCCCAGCCTTTAAAATCAGGCGCCATGTTCCCGGTTCCTTCTTCCTCTCCACACACGTGTTTCCCACAGGCCTGCTCACTCTCTGTCCCTTTAATAAAACTCTTGTTAGCGGATTCTGTCGTGTTTCGTGGCATTTCCTTGCAGGGTAAGCACACAACGCAGTCGAAAAACTAACATTTTTGGTGCCGAAACCGAGCGGGCGCTTCCGGGCGCCCGGCGCCTGGCGCCTGGAAACCCGTAAGCCGGGGACTGCAACACTCTGCTCCGTACGCGACAGACCGCTCTCCATTTCGCCTGACCGCAAAAATTCCATGCAACACCGCTTTCTCCGATTGGTGAGTCCCCCCATTTTCGGCCAGCGTAAACGGTTTCCTGAATCTGTGAGACCGACCGTTGATCGTCCGGCGCCTCACCAGTATTCTTGAGACCGGGGGAACCCCCGACCACGGTCTTCACTGGCTACGGTCGGCCCCTATCGCAGGCCTCAGATTTACACCCTCTCCCACGTCTGCAGCCTGAGATATTTCTCGCGTTGGGACCACCGCCGTTGGGTGCGTCCTGGGGGCCACGTGGGGCCGACGCGTTCATCCGACTTGACGAAGCGGCAGACGCTGTCCGGGTTCCCGGGGAATCCTTTCCTCACGTGGCGAGGGCCCCTGTTTCTGTGGCTGACGAGCTAAGGAACAGCTTGTGCCCGGTATCCGTCCTTGGCCTTGGGGACGCCTGGGGCCTTGGCTCCGGATCACGTTTGTTTTTTTTTCTTTTTTATTTTTTTCTGCCTCTCCGCTGCAGACATGGGAAACAAGGCTTCCAACCCTGTTAGTCCTTCCTCTCCGTTAGGCTGTCTTGTTGAAGCTTTAAAACCTCTCAGTTTAATGCCTTACATAAAGATTCCTAAGTTAACTCGTTTATGTTCAAAAAAATGGCCAAAATATTCTTTAGAAAACAACAAAAAATGGCCGCCGAGCGGCTCCTTAGATCCGATATTTTACGGGAGTTATCTAATTTCTGTCAGCGCTCAGGCAGATGGAAAGAGTTGCCCTACGTTATAGCATTTTTCTTTCTCAGTGCTAAACTGTCTCTTCTGGATTCCTTCTCTCCTGCTCATATGCTCCTGGCTATGCCTGAACCGGAGGATTCTCTGACTCCGGAATCTCTGACTCTAGATCCTGCTAACGAACCTCCACCTATTCGACCTCCAGCTCCAACTCCTAGAACAACTGTTCCTTCCGCTCCCCTTCCGGATTCTTCTTCTAAAGCTGTTCCTTCCTCGGCAGCGGCCGGTTCCAAAGGCCCTGCCCTAGCTCCAAACTTCACTCCTCCTACCACCCGCTCTCGGGCTGCTAAACTGCCGGATACCAGCCATCCAAAACCTTCCACTGTTCTCCCTTTGCGAGAGGTGGCTGGTGTGGATGGACTGATTAAAGTTCATGTTCCATTCTCTCTAGCAGAACTCTCTCAGATAGAAAGTAAGCTGGGTTCTTATACTTCTAATTCTGCTGCCTTTATTAAACAGTTTCAATATATAACTCAATCTTATAGTCTCACCTTTCATGATATATTCATGATACTTTCTAATAACTTACTTCCTGAGGAGCGCAGGCGGGTTTGGGAGCAGGCTAGGATTCATGCAGACGAAATTCATCAAACTAACCTCTCACACCCGCCAGGAGCTGAGGCGGTTCCTGACCGAGAGCCACACTGGGATTATAACACCCAGGGTGGCTGTCTAGCCAGAGATAGGTTTATTACCTGTCTCCTGACAGGTCTCCGTAAGGCTGCCCTAAAACCAGTAAACTATGAGAAACTAAAAATGGTTATTCAAGATAAAGACGAAAATCCATCTCATTTTCTAGAGCGGCTCACCAAGGCTCTACTTCAGTTCACTAGCTTAGACCCAGAGAGCCCTGAGGGCAGGCAGCTGCTAATGACCCACTTTGTCTCACAGAGCTTCCCTGACATTAGGGATAAACTTAAACGTTTGGAGAATGGCCCTCTAACTCCACAGGCAGATATGCTGGCGATAGCATTTAAGGTGTACCATGGGAGAGATGAAAAAGCCCATAAAAGGAGCTGCCAGATGCTGGCAAGCACTGTCCGACCGGCTCCCCGAAAGCCGTCTGGTCCCTGTTTCAAGTGTGGGAGAGAAGGCCATTGGGCCCGGGCTTGCACCGCCGGCCCACGAAGGGCACCAACAAAGCCTTGTCCAAACTGTTACCAAAAGGGTCACTGGTCAGCTGACTGTCCTAACGTCCCAAGTGACGTAGGAACGCCAGATGAAGACCACCCTTCAGCTGACTTTGTAGGCTTGGCTTACAGCGAGGACTGACGCTGCCCGGTTTCCGCCCCGGCCACTCCCATCTCACACAGGGAACCTAGGGTAACTATAAAGGTCAATGGGCGCCCCATCTCGTTCCTTTTGGACACCGGAGCTACCTACTCTGTCCTGAGAGAGTTTTGGAGGCCCACCTCTCCTGCTCGTCTCCCTATTGTCGGGGTTGGGGGACAGCCTTATCTACCTCATCAGACACCACCACTCAATTGCATTTTCAGAGGCATCCCTCTCACACACACGTTCTTAGTGGTGCCAAGCTGCCCTGTACCTTTAATGGGGAGGGATCTTCTAGCTAAGGTAGGAGCGTCCATTTCTTTCGCTCCACACATTCGCTCCATCCCAGACGCGCCAGCAGCTCCTTTACTTTTACTTCTAGCCATTCACTCTTCTGACTCTAACAATTCTTTTCCCCTACCAGCCTCTCAGGTAGACCCAAAAGTCTGGGATACCCAGAACCCTTCTATTGCTAGACACCATCAGCCTGTTATTATCCAGCTACAAGATCCTGCAAGGTATATCACCCAAGCTCAGTATCCTCTCTCACTCCAGAGCCTGAGAGGACTTAAGCCTATCATTTCTGACCTTCTCAGGAAAAAGCTGCTTCGCCTAACCTCTTCACCTTTTAACACTCCCATTCTTGCAGTTAAAAAGTCTAATGGAACCTACCGCCTGGTTCAAGACCTCCGGCTCATTAACTCTGCAGTGGTCCCTCTCCATCCTGTAGTGCCTAACCCTTATACTCTCCTGTCCACTATCCCTTCAGGAACCTCTCACTTCTCAGTTCTAGATCTCAAAGACGCCTTCTTTTCTATCCCTCTCAGTCCTCAGTCTCAAAATATCTTTGCTTTTACCTGGACTGACCCTGACACCCACCGGTCCACACAGCTGACCTGGACTGTTCTGCCACAGGGATTCAGAGACAGTCCACACCTGTTTGGTCAGGCTCTGGCCTCTGACCTGCTTTCTCTGTCTCTCCCTGGCTCTAAACTAATACAGTATGTAGATGATATTTTACTCTGTAGCCCATCCTTACAGGTTAGCCAAACTAACACCTCTGCTCTCCTAAATTTCTTATCCAGCCGGGGTTACAGGGTATCTCCTTCTAAAGTTCAGCTGTCAACTCCCCAGGTCACCTATTTAGGCCTATCCATTACTCCAACTCACAAGGCTATTACTGTAGACAGAAAGCGTCTAATCCAGTCCCTCACAGTCCCTTCTACTAAACAGGAGATTCTGTCTTTCCTAGGAATAGCGGGTTTTGTACGGTCCTGGGTTCCATCTTTTTCTCTCCTTGCTCGCCCCTTATACGAGGCAGCTCAGGGCTCACCGCACGAGCCCCTCCTTCATCCTGTCACTAAACCTTTCCAAAGGCTCCAGCAGGCTCTTCTTCAGGCCCCAGCGCTCCACCTCCCAGACTTAACCCGTCCCTTTTCCCTCTATGTAGCAGAGAAAGAGGGATTTGCCCTGGGAACTCTAGGACATCAGCTGGGACCTTCCTTTGCACCTGTAGCCTATCTGTCAAAGAAGCTAGACCTTACCAGTCAGGGCTGGGCACCTTGCATCCGTGCCTTAGCAGCTGCAGAGCTCCTTATTCGGGAATCAAAGAAGTTAAGTTTTGGGTCATCTATTACTGTTTTCTCTCATCATAATCTGTCCCATCTTTTAACTTATAAAGGCTTACAAACTTTACCTCCTTCCCGAGTTCTTTCTCTCCAGGTGGCATTACTAGAGGATGCGACGCTTACTTTCCGGACCTGTCCACCTCTCAATATTTCAAGCCTCCTTCCTCAACCTAACGCTGACTATTCTCCTTCTCATTCCTGCACTGAAACTTTAGAAGAGCTGCTACCTCACCCTTCACACATACAGGAGGGCACATTGCCTCAGGCTACTTATACTTGGTACACAGATGGCAGCTCCTTCTTATATGAAGGGACCCGTAAAGCGGGTTATGCCATAGTGTCAGATACTGAGATAGTAGAGGCACAGGCATTACCCACACACACCACCAACCAACAGGCTGAGCTGATAGCTCTCACTCGTGCCTTCCAATTGGCACAGGGACAATCTTTAAATGTTTACACAGACTCCAAATATGCTTTTCATATTCTCCTGTCCCACGCTGCTATTTGGAGGGAGCGTGGCCTTCTCACAACAAAAGGGGGATCCATATCTAACTCAGGCCAAATAATGGCCATGCTGGAGGCTTCCCACCTCCCCAGAGCTATAGGAATTGTCCACTGCCGGTCTCATCAGACGGATAGCTCCATCATCTCTAGGGGAAACAACCGGGCTGACCAGGCAGCCAGGACAGCGGCCCTCCAGGGCCAAGTCTCACCTCACCCACCACAGGGAATCCATACAGTACAGCCTACACCCTCACAGGGAACTCCAGACACTAGACAAATTCTGTCCTATCTACACCAGCTCTTTCATCCTAATAATCTTGCTCTGTCTCAATTCGTAAAAGCTCACCTGCAGCCCACCTCTGAGGATTTACAGTTCTTAAGAACTATTACTGCTTCTTGTGAGATCTGCCAAAAAACAGATCCCAATACCAAGTACAGGAGTCAGCCTTTTCCCACCCACCAGGCTAGAGGTTCCCTTCCGGGGAGTGACTGGCAGCTCGATTTTACCCATATGCCCACCGTCAGGAAAGTTAAGTATCTCCTCGTGATGGTGGACTCATTTTCAAATTGGGTGGAGGCATATCCGGTTTCTAATAAGCGGGCTCAGACAGTTGCAGACCTCCTTCTCCGAGAAATTATTCCTCGGTTTGGAGTCCCTGCTTCTCTCCAGTCTGACAATGGCCCAGAATTTACTTCTCAGATTTCTCAGACACTAGCTAAGGCGTTAAATATTCCCTGGAATTTCCATATCCCATACTGTCCTCAATCCTCAGGTAAGGTGGAGCGTACCAACCGGTCTTTAAAAACTATTCTTACTAAGATGTCACAGGAACTTCATCTCGACTGGGTAAGATTATTGCCTTTAGCTCTCCTCAGGCTCAGGGCTCTTCCTAAAAAGCCTCTTTCAATTTCTCCGTTTGAACTAATGTATGGAAGGCCAGTTCTAACACCAGGTCTTTTATCCAAACCTCCAACTATTCCAGATAGCCTGTTAACTCCTCTTTTATGTCACCTAAGGTCTATTCTATGGAGCTACGCAGACTGTTCATTACCTCAGCCGTGTGACAATAATTGTCCACCTCCAATACAGATTGGGGATCAGGTCCTTCTTTTCCCTCCAGGCCAGCGCCCTTTACCCCTTTCCCCTAAGTGGCAGGGACCCTTCAAGGTAATTCTTGTGACTCCTACAGCTGCTAAACTCGAAGGCTTTCCTCACTGGGTCCACCTGTCTCATCTAAAACCTTTTATCTCACCTCCATCCCAGAAAAATCTCTCTTCATATACAGTCAAACAAACAGGGCCTCTCACTCTCAAGCTCCAGAGGACACCAGGATCCACTGCCTTGTCACCAATTCCAGAGAAATAAGGTATCACCCCTTCATTTCCCAACCAGGGCCACACAGAGCCGGAGGCAAAAAGGACCATCAAAAATATCCAGGCGGTAAGGAATAACGTAATGCAATAATCTATCATTGTTCAATATTCAGCACCTGATCACCTGCGTTTCCTAAATGCTAACCTAATAAGGGAAACAGGTGCCTTAAATAAACTACCTCTAATAAGGCTTGTCTCAGATACAGATCAAGCAGAGTACTAAGTCCAGATCTACCTCAGGTAAATATCACATGTCTCTATCTGGACAGGCCAGATCTACCTCAGACAAATGCCAACTCCAAAATAAAATAATAATGATTCTTTCTCTCTAAGCCTTTTCTATGTCAACAGTATCTTGTCAAACAGAAGGTTCCCAGCCACAGCACGGATGGACAGCCACAGAACGAGGGGACGGCAGAACTTCATTCCAGGACCTGCCCACCACCATCCCAGGACTTCACAAGATACCCTCTCATCCCCCTGCTCCCCAAGAGCCAACCAACGCCCACTATTCAGCTGGAAGCAGTCTTTGAGAGAAACGTCGCCCCCATACCCAGCCAACCACAATTTTTTCTTTTTTAAAAAGAAAGAGTCAGGAATGAAAGGTTTACAACAAGCCCCCACGGTCAGGCGTGTCTGCCTATGCCTGGCGGATACTTCCGCCTGGCTAGGTCCAGGTCCAGATAGCCATTTCCGGGTCAGGGCATCTCGCGGGACCAAGATCCATGACGTCCCACTAGCCACGTAAGCGCGCAACGTGGCCATGTGATCTACGCGCTTGCGTGTAGTAGTGACGCTGATCTGTCCACGCCCAGCCTTTAAAATCAGGCGCCATGTTCCCGGTTCCTTCTTCCTCTCCACACACGTGTTTCCCACAGGCCTGCTCACTCTCTGTCCCTTTAATAAAACTCTTGTTAGCGGATTCTGTCGTGTTTCGTGGCATTTCCTTGCAGGGTAAGCACACAACGCAGTCGAAAAACTAACACTGGTCACCTGACTATGACTCTTCCTTTTGCAGTTAGCTTTGATTATTCTCCTTTCCCAACTCAGTCCATATCTCCCTCCTTCCCTCCTCCTCCCTTCCTCTTGCCCTCCTGCCTCTCTCCTTTCCTTTTTTCCTTTCTTTTTCTTTCTTCTTTCCTTCCTTCTCTTTTTCCTTCCTTCTCTCTTTCCTTCTCCTTTCTCTTTCTTTTTCTTTCTTTTTCTTTCTTTCTTTCTTTCTTTCTTTCTTTCTTTCTTTCTTTCTTTCTTTCTTTCTTCCTTTCCTTCTTTCTTCTTCCTTTCCTTTCTTCTTTCCTTCTTTCTTCCTTTCTCTCCTTCCTTTCTTTTCTTTCTCTGTTCTACCCCCCAAGCCCACCCTCCTGCTTTTCTCCACACCTCTCCTTTGCTAAGGGTCAAATCCAGGGTACCCTACAAACTAAACAAAGGCCTACCCTAAACCACACCCCCAGCCATCCCTCCCATCCCTTATATCTGGGTCAGGCCTTCCTGTTTTCATAAGTAAGCCTTTTTCTTATCCATTTGACCTTATTGCTTAACAAATATACCAAAGAGGAGGAGGAACCACTGTTGTCCCCAATGGTTCAAGTTATAACACTTCAAAGAGATTGGCTTCAAGGTTGCCCTTACCCAATTTGAGCCTGCTGCTCTCTCGGGTGGAGATCAAGTCAAAAGTGCCTGGAATACGCAGGAGCCACTGTGGGCATGGTGCACCCAGAAGAGCTGTGACAAAAATATATTGAACAGTGATTACTACTGAAAAATATCTCACCTCATAGTCTGTTGACTAATCCTCTAACAGAGGCAGTTGGGGTGGCATTTGAGAATAAACTCTAAATTTTCGTTTCCATGCTTGCTAAATGAAACATGCATGCTGTAATAAATACCTTGGATTTTTAAAGTAAAAAAAAAAAAAAAAGGCTTGGGGCTGGAGAGATGGCGAGGTAGTTAAGAACATTGGTTGCTATTCCAAAGAACCCAGCACCCACGTGGCAGCTGACAACTATCTGTTCCTCCAGTCTTAGGGGACCAACACTCTCTTCTGGCCTCTGTGAGCACCAGACACACATGTGCTACACAGACATACATGCAGGCAAAACACCCTTACATATAAGAATTAGTAAATTAAAGAAGAAACAGCCCTATGACATATGGAAACTACTATTGTCATTTCAGTTAATTCTTTTGGTTACAATACAAAGAAACTGATTATATATATATATATATATATATATATATATATATATATATATATATTCAATAAATAGAAATTATTTAGGATATAATCAGGTCACACAGGGAAGAGGCCCACTTTCTGCTTTGACCGAATACAGAACCCTGAGCTTATTGCTTCCCTTCTAGGCATAAGACTGCATTTCTTAGGTGAGTACACTTGTTCTTTAAGGTGAAGTTAGTCCCTCTCTCCCTTTCTCCTTCCTCCTTCCCTCTCTCTCCTTCCTCCCTCCCTCCCTCTCTCATTCCTCCCTCTCTTCCTTCCTTCCTCTCTCCCTTTCTTTCTTCCTCCCTTCCTCCCTGCCTCACTCCCTCCCAGTCTCTCTTTGTAGTGCTGAGAAGCAAACCAAGGGCTTCATGTTCTAGTCCCCTACCTGCTCCATACAATTTTTGTGGAAATTGAATTTCGCTCTCTTTCCTTCCCTCTCTTTCTCTCTTCCTTTTCCTCCACACTGGGCATTGAACCTATGGCTACACACGTGCTAGGCAAGCTCTGTACCAGTCTAGCATAAAGCTACACTCCAATCCTCATTTTACTTTGAAACAGTCATGCTAAGCTGCGTAGGCTATCCTTGAACTCACTCTGTAGCCCAGATAGGCCTTGAATTTATGATTATCCTCCTGCCTCAACCTCCTGAGTACCTATGATTTCAGGCTAGTACAGCAGACCTTGCTGGGGATGAACTTGAAGCAGTGACCAAGCACAGGGGCCCAAACATTCATTTGTCTACTCACCTGCATCTTCCCTTTCACCAGGTATGCCCCTCTGTGGCACGATTACAGCCAAAGTTGATGATACAGACATAGGTTGTAGGGTGGGTGTGGCTCCAGTATGGCTGTTTGTCAGTCACTTGCAGATCCACCCTAAATAAGATCAGCACAGATAAACCCTGGATTCACAGTTCCCAGGGACCTGATGAAACAGTATTCATGCCCAGGGTCTCCTTGGGCCACAATTAGGGAAAGGAGCTTTGAGCAGAAATGGGTCCTTTCTTCAAAAGAGAGCTTTCAATCATGTACATCATCAAGGCACCACCTTCTGCTTCTAAAAGGATGTCTCTCATGACGCTCTCCATGCCTCATCCAGAGAGTAGACTATTATGAGACCTCCCAATGTTCTTAGGAAACCTCTATTTTAGTTACTGTTGGAACTCCTGGGTCAGTGAGCTATCTCTCTAGGAGTTGATCCATAGTTCAGGAGATGGACGGAGGGAATGGACTGCCTTGGTTTGCTCTCTGCCCTCCACAAGTGAGTCATGACACATACACCCACCTATGTCCCAATAAATAAATAAATGCAAAAAATATTAAGATTTTATTTTATGTGTATATGTGATGATTTGAAAAAAAAAATGGCCCTCAAAGGGAGTGGCAGTGTTAGGAAGAGTGGCCTTGTTAGGGTAGGTGTGGTCTTGTTGGAGGAAGTGTGTCACTGTAGAGGTGGGCTTTGAGGTCTCATATATGCTCAAGCCACACCCAGTGAGACAGACCACTGCCTGTTGCCTGTGAGTCAAGATATAAGGACTCTCAGCTCCAGCACCATGTCTGCCTACATGCTGCTGAAACTGTAAGCAAGCCACCCTAATTAAATGATTTCCTTTATAAGAGTTGCCATGGTCATGGTGTCTCTTACAGCAATAGAAACTCTTAACTAAGACAGTGTGGGTGTTTTATTTTGGCTATATGTATGTATATGTAATATGTTTGTTCAGAACCCACAGAGGCCAGAAGAGAGCATCAGATTCCCTGGAACTACTGTTAAAGAGGGTTGTGAGCCACCAAGTGGGTGGAGATTAAACCCAGGTCCTCTGCAAGAGCAACCAGTGCTCTTAACTACTGATCCATCTCTCCAGAAGAAACTTGCACTTCTATTGGAAGTAGACCAATAATGAGAACTGACATTTGCTGATGGATTTTCAGGTGTGATCTCACTTAATATTTACAACTGTCTATGAGGGACTGTCAGCACTTTTCCTTTACAGGTGAGAACAAAGAAGCTTAATGAGTAAGGCTTCCCCATGCTCAAAGAGCTCTGGACTGGAAATGCTGGAATTTGAATCCCTGTTGGTCTCACCTCAGAATTTGACTATTGATTGACTGATTGAGACAGGGTCTGGTGTAGCCCAGGCTGGCCTGAAACTCACTATGTAGCTGAGGATGACCTTGAGCTTCTGACCTTCTTGCTTCCCAAGCTGGGATTCCAGGCCTGAACCACAGTGTCTAGCTCCGAGTTAGATATTGAAGCTCTCCGCTGCTGTGCTCAACTCCCCCCCACTGTATGAGTTTTAGGTAATCATTGCAATTTTCCTGGGCTTTGGTTTTGTGAGAAAAGGAGAGACTAGGTTGGTTGATACCTACTGTAAGTACCCATTTGTTGATAATTTCCTCACACACCTTGTTTCTTTCATTGACTTGGATCTGCAGCATTCTCACCAGCTGAGTGTTAGGAACTGTGATGGGTCTTAGTAATGGGGAGTGTTAAAGAGTGCAAGCAGCTGGAGTCTGTGAGTCACGTCAGGGACTGTGGAAGATCTGCCTGACTTTGCTTATTTGCCACTCAAAACCACTCTCAGGATAGACTAAATTAAATGTCATATTTAGAGCTCTGGGAATTGGAGTGGGGTCTGGTGCATGCTGGGTAACACTCTACTATTGTGCTACATGCCCTTTTAAATTTCATCTTAAGACAGGGTCTCAGTAAGCTATCCACTTGAGACTTGAACTCCCAGGCAACTCTGAACCTTCAATCCTTCCTCAGTCTCCTGAGTAGCCGGGTTAACAGGCTGTGCCACTCAACTACCGGTTCTCAACCTGTTGGTCACAACCCCTGGGATAGAACAACCCTTTCACAGGTGTCTCATATCAGATATCCTATATATCAGATAGTTACATTATGATTCATAACAGTAGCAAAATTACAGTTATAAAGTAGCAACGAAATTAATTTTATGATTGGGGTCCCCCCCCCCCCACCAACATGAGGAACTGTATTAAAGGGTCGCAGCATTAGGAAGGCTGAGAAACACTGCACTAGACACAGCTTAGGCAGTTACTGACAAAATCCTTACAGACCTTAACTGTGAAGTTCAGAGTGTTGAGCCCGAGCAGCTCTGGATCCTGTCAAGTTCCTAGAGCCTTGATGGCCCCACTCTCAGCACATATCTCTAGGTTCCCTTCTATGCCCTCCATGCCCCTCATACACTCCGTTCCTGCTCCAGCCAACTTCCACCAGGATAAATGTGAGCATGCACCCAAGTAACTGACTCTCTTTTTGGTAAGATCTGTTAATCCCAGCACTCTGACTCACCTGGCCTTCAGAACCTGGATGTCAGCAGGCTGGCTTGGGCCCAGCTATGAAGTACAGGAATTGTGTCTTGGTGTTTTATCCTCCTGTGCATGATGACCTATTGGCCAAATGTAGTCAGGTTTCTCTCATCCCACCTGGCCCCGCACAGTCTGGACAAATCTCTCATCTGTGGTCCTGCAGCTGCTTATAAAATAATCAACCAGAGGCTTAATATTATTTATAACTGTTTTGGTCATTAACTCAGGCTTATTACTGACTAGCTCTTACACTTACATCAACCCGTAATTCTTATCTATGTTTAGCCACATGGCTTGGTACCTTTTCTCAGTTCTGCCTGGTCATCTTGCTTCCTTTGTGTCTGGCTGGTGACTCCTGACTCTGCCCTTCCTCTTTCCAGCATTCTCCTAGTCTGCTCACCCTGCCTATACCTCACTACTGGCCAATCAGCGTTGTATTAAACCAGTGTACAAGAGCATTATCCTACAGCATTCGGGGGGCCAGGCAGGACCCAAGAAACCTTCCGACTACAGCCAAAGGATCATCTGAAATCAGAACTGGAAGAAATTTAACTAATTGGAAGTTCAATTTCTGAATCCCAAATCTTTCCAGGACTGTCTAAGCCTTTCAGTCTATGCCTACCACATGTAGGAAACTCTGAGGCCTGGCCCACCGAGGGTGGCCATTGTGACTTCCTTCTAGTCTCCATCCATTTTGTGGATATCTTCATAGAAGGGGGTCCATGAGGCCTCCAGACACCCAAGACTTTCTGGAAATTGGGTCATCCCTATTATTGGCAACATCAGTCCTGTCTTTCAGGATGAGTAGGAAAAGCTGGTGGGGCAGCCGTAACAATAATAACGCCCATCTTGTTCAGTTTGCACCCTCTGTTGATCTGAGTCCTGCTGATGCTTTCACTTATTTAATTCTCACTATAGCCCATGAGATGTATTATAATGGAGGAATGGAGGAAGGTTTTCAGTATAGACAGCTTTAAACAGATCTGTCATAGACGGGAAAGGGTCTAGAAAACCACCAGCAGTGGGCAGCTCATCCCACCCATAGGCAAAGGGGCAAGCTGAGGAGATGGAATAACCAGAGCCCAGTAAACCTGATGGGAAGGTCCAAAGGCTGCAGTGAGGGGCAAGTGGCAGGTGGGGCAGATGCTCCCTCCTCCATCTCCTTCCCATTTTTTGTTGGCTTGTGGTCAAGTGGGCTCTTTGGGGGGGCCCATCACCTAGCTCCCAAACAAATCACACACTGGAGGCTTATTTTTTCTTCTAAATACCTGGCCATAGCTTGGCTTGTTTCTTGACAGCTTTTCTTAACTTCAAATTATCCCATATATCTTTTGCCTTTGAGCTTTTTCCTCTTCTTAATTATGTATATCTTACTTTCACTCTTACTCCATGGCTGGCTGGGTGGCTGGCCCCTAGCATCCTCTTCTCCTTGTTCTCTTGCTCCTTCTCCTCCCAGAGTTCTCCTTCTATTTATTCTCTTGGCCTGCCAGCCCCACCTATCCTTTCTCCTGCCTTGCTATTGGCTTCAGTTCTTTATTAGACCATCAGGTATTTTAGACAGCTTCACAGAGTTAAACAAATGCAACATAAAAGAATGCAACACATCTTTGCATTATTAAAACAAATGTTCCACAGCATAAACAAATGTAACACATCTTAAAATAATATTTCACAACTGTCTGGGTGGTAAAAGCTTGAAGTATTATCCCCACAGGGCTCAGCACAGTGTGTAAAAACAGAATAGCCAGCCCATGGAGACTAAGCATGGAGCTCCAGATCACCAGGAAGCAGCAGAAATGGAACAAGAGGCGATTGTCTAGAAACATGGACCTTGGTCAAGAGAAATAAAATATTTGGATAAGCTGTTCTCATATTGAAGGTATGAAGTTCTAATGGCAGATACTTATGGCTCATGACTTGACTTATAATCAGTATTGCTTGGTATAATTAGTGTCATTAACCATCACACTTACTGAGCACACTTTAAATGTTAACCTGACAGCAGTTCCCACAAAGAGCAAGTGTGAGGCTGGGCAGGAGGGAAGAGCCCCAAGACAAGCTAAGCACAAAGGAAGGAAAACACCACAGGTTTATGTAATTTAGTGGTAAAAATGTGCCAGATGTACTAAATAATGTATCAGGCTACCAAATAATGATTGAGGGACCAGCAGCCTGAGCTGCAGAGTGCTGTTGAGACTCACTGAGTGCCTCAACTCACAACCAAGCTGTGCACAAGGGCCTGGACAGTGCTCCTTCCTGCCACATCTTTATTGTCGCCTCCAAATTTTGCTAGTGGGAATAATGTTTATTTGTTACAAATATAGAGCGTAATCATCCTAATTAGACATTTTTTATAAATTAGTAATTTTTAGGCTTTTATTAATATCATTTATTGTAGCCTAGAGTAGCTTGTAATCTCAGCACTGAGACAGTGAAGGCAGTAGGTTTAGGTGGTCATAGTACATGGTGAATTCCAGGCTAGCCTGGGCTACATGAGATTGGGATGAGTTCCAGGACAGCCAGGGCTACACAGAGAAACCCTGTCTTGAAAGACCACAAAAACAAATAATAAACAAACAAACAAATAAATAAAAATAGCCATATAGCCTGGGAGATGGCTCAGTTGGTAAAGTGCTCTTATAAGCGTGAGGACCCGAGTTTGATTCCTAGAACCCACATAAAAACATCAGGCACTGGTGGTGCAGGGCTGTGATTCCAGTGCCAAGGAGGCAGAGCCAGGCAGGTCCTTAGGCTTGCTAGGCAGCTGGGCTAGCCTCATCAGCAAGTTCCAGACTGGCGAGAGACCTTGTCTCAAAAAAACATAGATGGCAACCAAAGAATGACACAAAGTCGGGCGGTGGTGGCGCACGCCTTTAATCCCAGCACTTGGGAGGCAGAGACAGGCGGATCTCTGTGAGTTCGAGGCCAGCTCGGGATACAAAGTAAGTTCCAGGAAAGGTGCAAAGCTATACAGAGAGACCCTGTCTCGAAAAACCAAAAAAAAAAAAAAAAAAGAATGACACAAGAGGTTGACTCTGGCCTACCCCCGCAAGGCCCCCCAAATGCACACACATATGCACCCGCACATGCAAATAGATGAGAATATAGATACACACGTGAAAAATGTGTTCTCTATTTTCTATGTTTTGCCAGCAGATCTGAAGTGCTCCTCTGTAACTGCATTTATACCCACTGTCTGTCCATCCTCTCTTCATCCTTCACACTCTTCCAGACTATGATAATTGTTGTTCTACTCTCCATGTCTATGACATCAGCCTTTGGCATCCACATATGAACACTGTGTTTTTTGGCCCTGACTTAGCTCACTTGATGTTAATGTCCTCCAGTTCCATCTTTGTCACTCTGAGTGACAGAATCACATTTTCTTGATAACTTGATATCATTTCATTGTCCACATATGCCACGTCTTCTCTGTTGACAGTCATCATGTTGATTCTGTCTTGACTGTTGTGTTTAGGGAGCAATAGCCATGGAAGCACAGATTTCTCTGACATTCTGTTTGTGTCTTCTTTGGATATATACCCACTGATAGGGTTGCAGGAGCATATGGGAGTTCTACTTTCTTGTGTTTTGTTTTGTGTGTTTTGAGGAGACGCCCACTAACAGTCTATGTGAGTTCTCCACATCATCACCAGGAAGAGAAACAGACTTCGCTTGTAACTGGTAACACATCCACACTTGTGTGTGTGAGTGGAGGTCTTGGTCAGCTAGAGTCTGTTCAAGGCTGTCTGGACCTGGACAAGCCGTCAGTGTCACCAGAGAGAGAGCTGAAAAAAGCCTCTGGTTAGAGCATGGTAACCAGAAGCAGGTTAGACAGAGCGCTGACTGTAGCAGCAAATGTACAGCCTGTCTGTGGAAGAGAAGCTTTGTCGGTTGGCTTTATCAAAACTCAACGCTTGGCCCGGGAAGATGACTCGGGTAAAGTGCTTGCCATTAAGCCTAATGACCTAAGTTTGATCTCCAGGATCCACAGAGTGGAAGGAGAAAACATACTCTTAAAAGTTGTTCCTGGGCCTCTGCATGTTTGCCGGGATCTGCCTCCCAACACACAGTAAGTAGACAATAATTTTTAAAGACCTTCAATGCATGGCAATGATAACAGTACTAATGCAATACAATGGTAGTGCATGCCTGAATTCCTACTACTTTGGGAGGCTGAGACAGGAGGATCGCTGTTTGAGCCCAGACTGGCTTATAAAGCAAAATCCTGTCTCAAAAAAACATAAAGGCCCAAGTCACCAAACTTTAAAACATTTGCTCCATGAAAAATATTACAAGGCAGAAATAAAAAGCCTATCAAGAAAGTACCTGGACACCATCTTGGTGATGGCTGCTCTCTGCAGCGTGCATCCGTGTACTGACATTCTAAGATCATCATCAAGAGAAGACTAAGGTAAGGCCACTTTTAATGTGATTTTAAAAAGACAGCACACAGGCTTTGCTGAATCTCTTCAGTATTGATGGTCATTCTGCCTTTAAAAAAAGTATGATTGATACTTAGCAGACTGAAACCACTGAACTCATGATCATTCATGTTCAAGACTAAGTAAAGCTATGGTTTATGACTGTCTAGAAATAGAGGCCATGATCATCTGAAACCAGCACAGACTGCGCTGGGTCCATGGGTGGAGTTCATCTTTGACCTGCTTCTGTCTGGAAGTGGCATCAGCTCCTAGCATTAGTGCAGAGTCTACTAATTGTCTTTTGGACATTTTGAGTGCATTACAGTAAAGCTACTGAGAAGTAATGATTGCCCAAATCTGGAGCAAGGTTTATCCTGCCATAGATTTCCCTTTGTCCTGCATAGTCAATGGTGATTTGATGAGGACTCATGAAGATATACTTTTTTTGTTCGTTTTGTTTTTCGAGACAGGGTTTCTCTGTGTAGCTTTGCACCTTTCCTGGAACTCACTCTGTAGACCAGGCTGGCCTCGAACTCACAGAGATCCGCCTGGCTCTGCCTCCCACTGCTGGGATTAAAGGCGTGCACCACCACCGCCCAGCTTAAGATCTACTTTTTAAAGGTCAGGTTAGTGACAGTAGAGAGGTTACACACACTGAAGTATTAGAAGTAGATTTTAAAACTTGTTCACAGTTGAAGGAAGAGTTGGAGCAAGCATCCCACCCACATCTCTTGACACCTGCAGGCTACTGCAGGTTACCTTTAGATAGTTAACACAATTTAAGCTCTCCATCAATATTTGCTATGTTCTGCTGTTTAGGGAACAAGAAAAACCATATACATGCTCACTCAATATAGATGCACTTTTTTGTTTTCTTTGTTTGGTTTTCTTGAGACAGGGTTTCTCTGTGTAGCTTTGGAGTCTGTCCTGGAACTTGAGCTGTAGACCAGGGTGGTATCAATCTGCCTGCCTCTGCCTCCCCCTAGTGCTGGGATTAAAGGTGTGTGACACCACCACCCGGCTTTTTAAAATAAGATCTTCTAGGTAGTCCAGGCTGATTTGACATTCAGAGTCATCTTTCATCCTCCACTGGGATTGTAATCATGCCTAACTTTTACATACATCTTATTTTATTTTATTTCCTTCTTCCTTCCTTCTGTCTCCCTCCCTCCCTCCCTCCCTCCCTCCCTTCCTTTCTTCCTCCTTCCCTCCACCTCCCTCTCTTTTCTTTCTTCTTCTTTTTAAAAATATTTTGACATGTGGTTGGTAGAACTTGTAGAGTCAAAGGCAGACTATATCATTGGGGTTCAGTTATAAATACACGAACAAGATGTTTATCAAACTAAATACGAGTAACTTGTTCCCTATTTTTATTCTAACAAATTACTGGAATTTAGTGGCTTAAAAAGACACAAAGAATGTGTTTAATCTAAACTGTTCTTTTATCAATAAAAACTCAGAAGTCAGATATTGGTGCAAACCCAATAGGTAAAGAAATCCGCAGAGAAACTATGGACTGACTCTTTTTCTTCTCCTTCTCAGATTGGAAGAAAAGCCTTGAAAATCTCCCTAAGCCTCTCCTTATCTCTTCCTGTACTCTCTATCTGGCCCTCCAAAATCTCTATGGCCAATTTCCAATCAGCCAGTTGTGAATTCCACCCCTTGATTCAAGGTTTAACTTTATTGTTAGTCTCAATTGTCAGTGTGAACAAATATCCCACAACACACACATTTATTCTTTTCCAGTTCTGGATGTCTAAAGGGTAAATGAAATGCCAGGGCTATGTTCCTTCTGGAGAAAACAGTCCTTGTCCATGGTCGCTGAGCTCTGCTTCTGCTTGTCACATCTGACTGGACCTGATGCCTCCTAAGAACTCTCATGCTTACTGTGGGTTCCCTCAGCTAAACCAGGCCAGTGTTCTGTTATCAAGACCCTTGACTGTGTCTACGAAGTCCTTTCTAACATTCAGTGTCACATCTCTCTAGGGCTTGGGACATGTACATCTGTGGGGAAACATTGTCCAACCTGTTCCAAGGAGCTGGCAGCAGGAGGTTATTGCCAAGAGTGAAGGCGTCACCAGGTACATTGACAATGCAAATGAAAGATTGCTTTGATAACACCTACTAAGCACGTCAATTTTACATCAACACTAAGTATATGGTTACCAAAACACAGTAGTCCAAATGATTATTATCTGAGTGTCTTCTTAAGATTCCCAAATAACTGTGTTTCATCTTTGGAGTCATACTTTTCAATATCATCAGACTTGGATGCAATCAAATATTTTGGAAGGACATAAGAAGGAAGAAATGCAATATAGAATTGGGGATGTTTACTGCAAACAAATATCATGAGGCAGATGTTAACTCCCTTTCCTCATTTAAGGGATGACATAAAGGCAAACTGTGAGAGCTAGGCCAGGGCGATGATTCCACACCCAAGGAAGGAAGTACTATCCACTGTGTGGGTGCCCTTGAGAGCTACTGGATTCGATATCACCAGAGACTCTAATACATGTAGTTCTTATGGTTTATGTGAAATCACAGCAGCCTGAAACCATGCCCACCTCTCCTCACACTCTCTTAGTGGTTCTAGCAACTCTCTGTCCTGGCTTGAGGAAACGGAGAGGAGCAGCCACAGCACCCAGGAGCAGATAAGGCCTCTGTAACTGTAGGAATGGGCTTCCCACTGGCTGACAGATTTATGGAAGGATCATTTCCTTTGTTTGTCTCCCAACTAGGGTCTGCAAAGGCCTCCTTGCCCTGTGATCACATCCAGATGGATTTCAAAAAAAGGAAATGGTTTCACTGAAGTGACAATTAGCAGAATTCCTGCTGATTAATTTTTTCCTTATTGTTTCCACCAATGGCAATAGGGTACCTATTTATTTCAGGGCAATGAATCTCATCTTGTCATTTCAAGATAAAGGTTTACATTTAGTGTAAATTTGCACAGTATATGATTTCTGTAACACCTACACTATGCAGATCCTTTCATCCTGAGTAAAAATGAGTGTGGAATTTGATGCTTGCTACCCAGCTAATATCCATCCTCTTCCACAGCACATGCTGCTTTCTGAAGAAGGTGCTTGGTTTGTTAGTGTTCTGTTTTACAAAAGAAGGTTTTCCTCCTGTGCTCAGCTCTCTCTCAGTCTCCACAGTTACTTTGCATATTTCCTCTGTTTAGCCCTTTTCTTACTTCTTCCTCCTTTCTGTAGCCCTGGGGATTAAACTCAGGGCCTCAGTCCACTACCACTGATTTGTATTTTTACTTAGAAGCAGGATCTCATAAGCTGCCTAGGTGGCCCAGAATGTACTTTGTAGGGCATGTGGGTCTTGAAGTTTTATCTTCCTGTCTCAGCCCCCTGTGTAGTTGCTGTCTTCTGTCTCT